GAACTGGTTGAGTTAGGCTGACGCCATGGGCAAAGGGAAACACTGCTGTAAGCATGTGTCAGAAAGAAGGGAAAACGATCCAAATAGCCCTCTGCAAGCGAAGTGAGACGGCTGAATTTTCCCAGAGAAAACATAAAGGAAGAAAGGAGGAGCCAGGCAGAGCAGCACACACCTGCGTTCCCGGCACTTGGGAGGCTGAGGCAAGAAGAGCCCAAGTTGTAAGCTGTCGCTGGACCATTCAGTACCGCAGACCCTTGTCTCGAGGCAGGGGTGGGATAAAGGCCCGGGTCCCCAAAGGAGAGCCACAGCTCTTTGATCTCTGACACGAGGCCACAAGTGCAGAGTCCCGTATCAGGGAATTTTGTTCTGTACAAGATGATTGAAAGTACAGATGCTCCTGGTTTAATGACCTACCTATTTAAGGACTTTGGAGAGCCAGCCTCCTGCCCCGGCTTTCTTCCAGCTTTTGTTGTACAGTCTGTCCAGCTTGTTAATAGCGCCTCAGCATCTTGTTGTTTTGTTGTTTTGTTTTTGAGTACAGCACACTTTGTTTGTGCAGCACTGTCATTTTTGCTGATTGTACTGTACAGTACAGTACTGTGTGGAAGTTACCCGTGTGAAGGCAGAGTCCTCCAGCTGGAATTCCTTTAGCCGTTTCTTGGGCCTGAGTATGATGATGTACATACGGACTGTGTGCACTTCCTCATTTAGCTACGAGTCCATTAAGTGACCTAGTTACGGGAGCAGAAGTGGGCTGTTAAACAAGCAGGTGTCTGTGTGTATGGAGTGACCTTCAGGCTGTGTGTGAGTTTTGTGGCAAGACTTGAGTCCCGTCTCCAAGATGTCCTCTTAACGCACGTGCAGACGTCCCAGAGCTGCCAGGGCCGGTGGCACACGCTTGTAATCTGGCTCTGGGGAGCTGAGGAAGGGAGATTGCCACCTGAGGTCGGCCTGAACTACATGGAGACCCTGTCTCGCCAAAAAAGCTAAAAAGTCTGAAAAAAATTCTGAAATTCAGAGCCCTTCTGGTGCTGCTGCGCATTTCAGACTTGGACATTAGGGACTCAGCCTGGAGATTTTGCTGTAAGGTAGGTAAGTGGCTTTTTTGGGAGGCATGGCCTTTGGTTGGTCTGTTACTTGCCTTGGGTTGTGACTGACCTAAAGATGTCAACTTTTGACTAGTTCAGTCTGGTTGGAAGATGAAGAAGCACCGCGGACGGATGCAGCTCAGCAGTATAGGCGCCTGCCTGGCAAGCATGAGGTCATGAGTTCGATCCCCGGTACCAAATCAAATCAAGAAGCACCTGTATGTACATTAGAGACTCTCAGCTATCTACTCAGTTGTTTAAATTATACTCAGCTTGTAAAACAGCCCCTATTTGGAGGTAATAGCAGTTACTTAAGGAAAAGGTGCTGGGTATGCGCATTAGCGGCACAGAGAGGTTGTACCAGCCCAGATCTTGGGCTGGAATCCTATATTCAGCCATGGAGCTTACTTTTTGGCAGGACCCTAGTCTGGTTTTAGAGTCAGAGTAATGCCAGCTTCCAGGAGTGACTTTGTGAGCCCTCCTTTCCTTTCAGTTTCCCTAAAAGTGGTAAGGAGCATCGGTGTCAGGTGTCCTCACATATTCCCTGAAGTGCTTCTGAAATTCAGCAGAGAATCCATCCAGAGCTAGGCTTTTCTTAATTGTTAGGGTTTTGTTTTTTTATTACTGCTTCACTTTTATTACTCGTTAGTGGATTATTCAGGGTTGTGTCTTGGTTCAGTGTTGGTAATTCATATTTGTCTAGAAATCTATTCTGAATTCTTCAATTTATTGGCATATAGTTTTGCAAAGTAGTTACTAATCTGGATTTTGGCAGTGTCTGTTGGATTTCACTTTTTTTTTTTTTAATTTGCTAAGGATTTGTCTTAGACAATTTGTTCTTTGAAAGAACCAGCTCTTGTTGATTCTTTATATTGTTTGTTTTTAGTCTCAATCTCATCAATTTCTTTCATTGTGTCACTTAAGTTCTGGTTTGTTGTACTGACATTACTGCTCCATCGACTGTCTTACTTCTTCCTTGATTTCTTCTGTAACTCATTGATTACTCAATGATTGATTTATATTCATTTGCGTAATTTGTATTCTTTTGCTTTTGATTTGTAGTGAACTGTGATCTGATAATATGCATAGTATACTTTTGATTCTTTTGCATTTACTTACGTATACTTATCTCTTAGAGAAAGTTCCATGTATGGCTGAGAAGAATGTGTATTCTATTGTTGGATAGAATACTGTAGATTTCTACAAGGTATTTGTCGGAAGGTTTTGTTCAATTCTGATTGTTTTTTGACTATTGATCTAATTGTGACAATGGGGCATTGAAGTGCTCTGCTATAATTGTTTATAAGATCTTTTATGTTCCGTTGTACTTGTTTTATGAAGTTGGATGCACTGTTATTCAGTGTATATATGTTAGAAATTGTTCTTCCAGTTGTGTTATTCCCTTAACTAACAAGTAGTGACCTTCTTTGCCTCTTTTGTTCAGCTTTGGTTGGAGCTCCGCTTCATCTGAAGCAGGGTGGCTACCTCTGCCTTTTTGGGGGACTCCACTGCATGACATACTGTTTTCTATCCTTTGATTTTTAGTTTATGAATTCTTTTTGGGTTAAATGTTTTTGTGTACAGAATACTAGATTTTGTTTCGTGAGCTATCCTGGAAAATTTTGCTTTTGAGGCGTTGAGCATTCATAAGGAGAGTTATCACTGGTGGGTACTGACTTACTCCTTTCATTGCATTATTTTCCTGTTGCTGATTCTCCTTCTTTTCTACTTAATCGGTCCCCCTGCCTGGTGCATTCATTCTGTTAGGCCTTTTATCATTGTTAGCCTCACTGTCTCTTTCTGGATTATCCTTGAGGAGTTTTTGAAGTGTTTCTTGAGCAGCTGCTGGAGGGTAGAGAGGCAGAGCTGTATGTAGAGTGGAACATAGCAAGGTCCTGTTTCAAAATTTAAAAAACTGAAAGGGCTGTGGCTGTAGCTCAGTGGCTACTGGCTTGTGTTTAGCTGTCCCCCTAAAGCCTCATGTGGTCATAGGTGTGCTTTTCAGGTGGCAGGATCTGGGTTGTGTCCTGGGATCTAGGGTGTGTGGTTACCATACCAGTCCTCTGGCTGGTCCGGCCTAGTTCCGGGTGTGGGTGCCGGGAAGGCCCGCCCTGGGTGTGAGTGCTTCCCCTGCTCAGTGCACACAGCCTGGGTGAGAGCTGAGGGACAGAGATGGCCGCTTCTGCCGCTCTGCTGCCTTGCGCCTGCCCTGCGTTGCTATGGGCTGTTTCTCTGCGATGCTCTCTGCCGTGCCACCCTCCGCAAAGCCAGTATCTAGAAGCCAAATAAACCTTTCTCTGTTAACTTTGGGTGTCAGTAATGGATACCCATCAGTAATGGAAATGATAACTAAGACAAGTCCCAAATGCTGGGGTAAAAAATTCACGAGCCTTCTTTTCTGTTCGGTGCTAGGGATCAAAGCCAGGCCTCCCTGGGAGAGGACCACACCGTGTGTCTGGCCCAGGCTTCTTAGTATTGCTCCTTAAACTTGATGTTAACATCATCTTAGTCAGACTCAAGGGCACTGGGGGTTCTGTTTGACTTTAGGGATGAATTTTTTTCCCCTAGTACTGGGAATCGAACTCAGGACCTTGTACTTGTCAGGCAGGCACCTGTGCCGCTGAGCTGTATTCCTGGCCCAAAGGATGAATTTTAAGTGGCTTTGTTTTTTATATTATAAATACATTTTTTCTTTAAGAAGGGCAATTCTGAAAAAACCGAAGGCATATGAGATGTTTATCAGTATGTTTACTTTATTCCTTTAGCTTCATATGGTAAGAGCCACTGTCTAAGGACAACGATTTTATCAGCTGAGAGTATCTCTTCCTGAAAGTGATATATTTTCAGGCACATGCATCGATCCATCTTCTCAAAGTGGTTATTTTTGTATTTCATCCGAGTTAAAACAGGGACTAAGCTGATCAGACTTATGCTCATGTTATTAATAAAGGTGATGAAGGGGCTCAGTATTTACATTACAGATTTTTTTAAGAGTAGGGAAGTTTACTGGGGAATCACGGTGGCTCCTGAGAGACGGGAGGGCCCCGGACGGGTTGCCCTACAGCTGGTTATTGATACCCACTGCATACCCGGTACACCTGGAAGCCACGTCTTAAGACAGTCTGCTGCGTGTAAATGCTGGTGTGGATTAAGACCTTCCTTCCACCGCCAGGATGAAAGGAGCCCAGCACGGACTGTGTGCCAGGCAGTTGGCTTCTGGAACGCTTGGGTCGTCAGGGCCATGCAGCACAGAAAGGGTGCAGGGCGCTGGTAACCAGCGGGAAGGCGGCTCCTGCCACTCCTCCATTCTGCCTGGTCTCAGCAGGGTCTTGCCCAAGGCTGTCCCTTGTGTGTTCGTAGGCACTGTGGATGGCTAGGGGAGAGCTGACACCATTGGCCTTGTGGCCAGTGCATTTTCGAGGTTGCTTTTGGGGTTGCCTAAGATATGGAAGGTGAAAATGAGAAAAGAACCCGATCGCTACAAGTTACAGCTGTTTTTCTAAAGCTCAGATGACTTCTCAAGCCCTTTCTTCCTGCACTGTGGCTGTGATTGCTGTAAATTTTCCGGTGTCGCATTGTAGGAGTGTTGATGGCATTTTTAAACATAGCAGATTTCCTTTGCACTCGTTACCTGCCCCTCATGTTGGTGAGTCGCACACCAGATTGTTGTCCCTCCATGTAATGTGTACAAATGTGCGTGTCCAGGGTCCAGCATGACGCTGCCCGGAGGTAAGTTTACCGACGTTCCTAGTGATTTGGTGAAGACAAAGCAAGCCCCGTTTTCTCAACTGAAAATCCCAGGAACCTCTCCGTGTCCCTCCTCATGGAAGCAGGATGAGGGCTGCCGCACCCTCACGGTCCTTAGAAACTGGATTTGTGGGCTCTAAATGATGCGTATTTTTCCATCTTTAGGATCTCTCTGTGATTGAGCACACAGCTCAGGATCCAGGGTCCGAGAATGAATGTTCACCGTGCCAGTGACAGCGACAGGTTATCGCGGCCCGAGGCCAGCTGTGTAGTGGATGATACCTTAGCTGTGGCTCAAGAAAAAGAAACAGCCAGCCTGGCTTCACCTGGCCTTCATACCTTCACTTACGCCCTGGGCGCCAGGAGCGAAGGTACGGAGTCCGCTCCTGACCGCTCGGGGCCTCTGACACTGCGTCTGTCTGTCCTGCTGGGGCTGTGTTTCCCCATTTCTGTCAAGCTGACCTTCACAAAATCTCCACATATTTAATCAGCCTGGCCCGGACTGGGGATGGTGGGGAAGAGGCACAAGCCAGAGTCTGGGAGCAGATCTGGACCCAGCCCTGCTGTGGAACAGCCGTCACCGCGGACGGGACTCTGACGCGTTCTGAGTCCTGCTTTCTTCTCTAGAAAGCTGTTTGTCAATGGTCCTCCCTATGGGCCGGTAGATGGGTTAGTGAGGCCATGCGCCTCGTTAACTCCGAACATGTCCTCACGGTGACCTTCCTGTGTAAGGTATAGCAGGAGGCAGCAGAACACAGGGGCCAGGAGCAGAGCCATGCAGAGGCGTGGAGGTTCAGCTGTGTGTAAACACAGCCCCCCTTTCACAGGATGGGGTCCTACGGTGTGTGTTGTGTTTTGTCGTGTACCGTGAATATGTGCCAATCAATGAAAGCCCAAAGCTGGGTGAGTATTTTGGTAACCAAAAATGACTACAGGAGCTCCAGTTCTTCTTAGAACAGCACCTCATCCTGCCTCTCTTGGGGCCAGCACTTCGGGAGACTAAGCAGCAGGTTTCTCGGTAGGAGCATTAGTAGAGCTGCGACTAAAACACTGCATTTCCTTAATACCCATTTAAAAGGAGACATGAAGCAAGAGTGCCCTAAGAGTAACGTTTCTGCGAGGGTTTACTTCAGATCTGTACTGCGACATCGCATGGGCATCGAATGACTGAGCGTGTTCCCCTGTCCACCGGAAGCTGCTGCGCCCACGCAGGGACTGTCAGCGCAGTGTGAGTGTGGGCCCTGCCGCCTCGGCTGCCTCCTGTCTGTGGGCTCACGGCCAAGGCCTGACTGCGCTCTGCACGTCCACGTCCACATGTGCTTTCCCAGCAGTTACTGACACGTTGGCTAACTGACTAGCTCTACTTTTTGACATCCTTTAAACTTGTAATTAGAAAGTCGCAGCAGCTTCCTTGGACCTCCACACACACTAGGTCCTTTAGCCGGGACGGCAGCCCGTGGCCAGATCTGACTGCTGCGCCTGTCCACTGTTCAGTCTGTGGCTGCTTTCCATTGGTAGCCATGGAGACTGTGACCCGCAAACCCAAAATAATGTACTTTCTGGCTCTTTGCAGAAAGTTTGCCAGTCCCTGTCTAGAGGAAATGACACTGCTGCCCTTGTCGCACAGATGGAGGAGCGCAGGGCTAGTGCCCTCCTGCCTCATGTTGCTGGACGTGGGCACCCAGCTCTGCCCGGGAAGAGCTGTGCGGATCCGATGGGGGCCGCCGTCCCGGGTGGAGCGGCTGGGCAGGGCTGCTGTGAAGCAGGGTGCAAGCGGCGCTGCTTCCTTGAGTTCGGGCTTCTACCCGATATAGTGACCTCCCTGTTGAGGTGAAGTTGGGCACCCTACAGAGTGGAATTAGTCCCGGAGTACCTGTGTGGCCTCAAAGAACGGCACTCCAGATGTGAATGCCTGATGCTGATCAAGGAGTTTCTGGGGGCTCGAGGTGAAGCACCTGCTGGGCCCCATGGGGTGCAAACTCTGCATGGGTTTTAGTTTAGGCGTTCGCTTCCTTTTATTACCTAGTTTGTTACCAGTGCAGGGAATCGGACGCATTTCCCAGGCCTGGGAGCTGCAGTCTCGTCGGTGGGTAGTTGTGTGTACACCTTTAAAATGCATGAGGGGAAAAGAGACATTCCGCTGTACCATGTAAGCTTTTCTTTTCTTCAAAACATTTTTGGAAAAAGGAATATTTTAGGCTTGCCAAATACAGGTGATGGGGTAAATGTTAAGTCTGTGCTTTCGTACGTGTGAAGTTTTCCATTAAAACATAACTGGACACTGGAATACGGCGGGTCGCCCTCCAGTCCGCATCGCTGGTGTTTCTGCAGCGCGGCCCCGCCTGCCTCGGCGCACGCCCGCTTCCCAGGCGCGGCTGTGAGTGCGCCTGCGCAGCTCCGTCGGGAGTTCGAGGTGCAAAGCGCAGCCCACGCTTTGTTTCAGTTGATTAACCCTGTGAGGTAGCTAGAGTGAACGTGATCGGCCTCTTTTTATAGGTAAGATGAGCTTTAGAAAGATGAAATAACTTCAAGAAAATAGCTTTTCTAAGCCGGGCATGGTGGCTCACCCCTGTAATCCCAGCACTCGGGAGGCTGAGGCAGGAGGATTGTTGCGAGTTCGAGACCAGCCTGTGCTACAAAGTAAGCTCAAGGCCAGCCTGAACTGTATAGAGACCCTGTCGCAAAAAGACCAAAAAAAAAAGAAAGAAAGAAAAACAGAAAAAATAAATTTTCGGCGGTATGAGGACAAAAAGCGAGATTCCGTGAATGAGGCCGGCGCTGTGATGGGTTTATGTCGTCAGGGAGATGCGACACAGAAATCGGAGGCTTGCGTTCTTTTGGAAAAGTAAAATTTAAAAACAGTGTTGAAGGGGCAGGGAATTTAGCTCAGGGCATAAGCGCCTGCCTTGCAAGTGTGTGGTTGTGAGTTCGATTCTTGGTACCGATAAAAAAGACAACAACAACAAAAAAACAGTGTTGAAGAATGTGAAAATTAATAGTTTTAGCACACAGCAACAGGGGGCTCCTAAAATAAAACAAAATAGGATTTTGAAGAGACAGAAATAAAACAAATAAAAGTAATTGCCTCTGGACCAACACCGGGAGATTTAGGGGGAAGCAGGGGATTGTAGGTGCTGTGTATAAATTCTTCTCTAGTGTTTACTGTTTAAAAACCATTTACACAATTTACATTTTAAAAATCATTTCAGCTGAGTGCGGTGGTACATGCTTATAATCCCTGCTCTGGGCAGGCTGAGGCAGGGGTCAGGGATGTCCAGTGTGAATCGCTATGGGCAAGAAGTTTTGTTTTTGCCCTGTGAACATGTAGAAGTTCGAGTTAGTTTGTTCATGTATCGTTTTGGTCAGTGTTTTAGGGATGACAGGGCTAATTTTCTCCCAAGTGACTAGGTTGGTTTGTGTGGCTCTCCAGATCTTCCTCTTGACTGTGCCTCTCTGCCGGCGAATCTTCAGTTCCCTCACATGATGCCACTCTCCGAGGATGTCAAAGGCTCTTGCTTCCAAAGTGGGAATAAACGAAACCATGAACCCTTTATTGCTTCAGAAAGATTTGGGAATAGCAGCATGGGCTTTGGTGGTACCTCTCATTCCCAAGCACCAGAGAAAGTGACCCTTCTGGTGGACGGCACACGGTTTGTCGTGAATCCACAGATCTTCACGGCTCACCCGGACACCATGCTGGGAAGGTAATGGGTAATTCCCTCTGAATCTACTCTGTGATCTCTAAATAGAAGTACATGCTGTTTACCTTGCACTGAATGGGAGACTCAGGCACTACATTGCTTATTTTCCTGCCTTTGTCCTCTTGTGAAGAGGGGACAGCAAGCCAGCACAGTCCTGACCATGGTGAAGATTTGGAGGGGCTGCTGTGTGGAGCGGCACTGGCCTCGCATGGGCAGGGCCTGGGTTCCACCTGCAGCACGCAGAGCGAGGCCTGAAAACAGGCAGCAGAAGCGAGTAGAATTAGGACGGCAGAACAGAACTTGCCAGGTCACATCCCTCCTCCTGTAAGCTCCCTGGAGCAGTTTCCGAGTTGTACCAGGGAAGGAAAGCGACACAGGGCAACCCCCGCCCCCTAGTTTTCAGGCCCCCTGAAAAGCTGCTGCCAGCCTCCGTAGAGATCGGCTTTCAGGACCCGCCGTGTCTCTCTGCACCCGCACGGAGAGCACCTGCCGCACCCGGTGCTGTCTGAGAGTCTCCCGCTCCTGCTCGCCTCAGGTGTGCAGGCCCGTGAGGAGCGGAGTGGGGTCCTCAGATGCGGCGGGGAGGCGGCCGCGTGGGTGAGGGGTGCTGTGGTCAAGGTAACGCTGCGGCCTGGTGTTTTTCAGGATGTTCGGGCCAGGACGAGAGTACAACTTCACCCGGCCCAACGAGAAGGGAGAGTACGAGATTGCCGAGGGGATCAGCGCCACCGTGTTCCGCACGGTGCTGGTGGGTAGCGGCGTCTGCGTGTTGAGATCCTCCTTAAGATTCCAGCAGCCGTGTTACTGCCTCAGCTTCTCCGTGTCCGCCTGTTAACCTGTCCTCATTCCTCTTCTGTGTATCTCGAGTCCTTCCCGCCACGTGAGCTCAGCATTGTCAAGCTCTGGTAGGGGCTGCGTCGCCCCTGAATCATTGGTGATAATCCCAGGAGCCCCTCACATCAACAGTGGGAAGAAGAGGGCAGAGGAAGCACTCTGCCATGTTGTTCTTTGCCCACCTCTCTTCCTCCCAATCTGTTCACAGGATTATTACAAAACTGGCATCATCAATTGTCCGGACGGCATCTCTATCCCAGACCTTCGAGATACGTGTGATTATCTCTGCATTAACTTTGACTTCAACACTATCCGATGTCAGGATCTGAGTGAGTACAGAACAGCTGCCCGCCGTGCCTGTGCAGCCCAGCTTGCAGTGGGCTTACAAGTGACTGCTTTGCTTCATGACGAAATAGTAGTTTAGAGTGTAGGTTGGCAGTATCCAGCCCATTCCCTCCCCTGCTTCGAAGTGTAGTACACAAAGGAAACCCAGCAGAGGGTTTGAATCGGGCTCGGTGAGCCAGCCACCAGGCTAGCTGCTTCCCTTGTTGGTAGGACCTTGGAGTCAGCTGGCTGTCCACGCAGAAAGGCTTGCTGGTAAAGTCAGACAGCACGAGTTAGCTGGGGTCTTCATGCCATGATTCTGATCATCACTGTTAACCTCGTGCTTGACAGGTGCCCACTTGCTCAACCCTGAAAGCTGGCACTGACTTGATTAACAAGTGAGGGCACTGATGCATGCACTTGTGCAGAACGCTAGTCAGTAAGTCCAGGAGTAGAATTCAGATTGTCTGACTGTGGACTCTGCTGTTAGTATTCTTGGAGCTGGAGTGGTATGGTAAGCCAAGTTACTTGGGAAGCTGAGACAAAAAGATTGCAAGTTTGAGGGTACCCTGGGCAACTTAGCAAGATCTGGTCCCAGAAATAAAAAGGGCTGGGGCTGTAGCTTAGGGGTGGAGTACCCTGGGTTTGACCTCCAGTACAGAAAGGAGAAACAGTCCTTTGATGTGCGCGTGCATTTCCTTGCAGTTCGTGCAAAGGCCTGTACACTTGCAGTTTGTCCTGGGTTTAGCACACGGAGGTCAGCCACTTGGTATGGCCAAACATAGGTTTTTCTCTGTGTTTATGATGCTCCTCTACAAGACAGGGAGGGCCCTAGTGTCTCACAAGAGTGCTATAGTCTCACCGATAACAGTTCCATCTCTTACAGAATCAGTGTTTATGGCTTGACAGTGTCTACCCAAACCTCATTTTCTCAGTGCTCAGGGATTAGTGGACCTGAGGGAATCAAAACGTTTCAGAATATGGAACACACGTGTGACAGTCACCTTGGGGCAGGAGTCGATTCTCCTTTCACCACGGCCCTCTGCAGCCCTTACCGAGCGCAGTGACTGTACCCTTGCAGAGCGCACTCCAGTGACAGGTGCCTTTCCACAGGAAGTGCTCAGTGGCTCTCTCCCCCCAGGTGCTTTGCTGCACGAACTGTCTAACGACGGTGCTCACAAGCAGTTTGATCACTACCTCGAAGAGCTGATCTTGCCCATCATGGTGGGCTGCGCCAAGAAGGGGGAGCGCGAGTGCCACATCGTCGTGCTGACCGATGAAGACTCTGTGGACTGGGACGAAGACCACCCTCCACCCATGGGAGAGGAGTACTCCCAAAGTAGGAGCCCCTGCAGGGTGCATGTGTTTTCCACAAGAAAAGCGCTGCCTAGAGCCAGGGTGACAGGCCCTGTGGGGGTGGCCCTGCGCGGGGACCCAGTGCCTGTAGCTCACACCTCCGCCCTCCTGCCTGGTGCCTGGTCCTGCCAGACGCTGAGGCCAGCACCAGGTGGTGTGGCCAGGCTTCTCCTATCCTTTCGCTTTTGATCCTTTCGAACTGGTCTAGTTGAGAGCTAAGAGTTCTAGAAAAGGGTTTGCATTTGATAGTGGTGTGACAACACTGCCTCATCCCCGTTTTCCTCCTCAGAGTCTTTGGTAGCCTTCCACGTATATTCCATATATATCCACAGGTACATGCTGTTTTTCCCTTTTTCCAAATGATACCTTACTCAGACTGCTCTGTACTGGTGCCTCTCTTTTCCGGCCACCTAGGATCCCATTGCATGAATGTGTCCTACTTGATTTAACTAGGCCTGTTAGAGAGTTAGGCTGTGAATTACAAACACTGCATGGCCAAGGGCTTTTTAAGTAGTCTTTTCACTATGTAGTCCTAGAAATGGAAAGTCAAAGGCTTTTCACTTTTATTGCTTTGATAGCTGTTACCAAATTATTCTTCTAAAGATGGTTGCAATTCACACTCACACAAAAGATGCAGTAGGCTGGTTTCCCACCCCCTCACCAGTGTCCGATAAACTTTTATCTTAGCCACTCTGTTAATAGTTTAAGAAACAGCATCTCATGATCTCTGTGGTTTTAATTTGCACTTACTTTACCAGTGAGGCTTTTAAACTTTTTTTTTAATAATGTCAAAAAGTGTATACGAAAGTGTAGGGTAAATGGGAGAAACCAGCTCTGCGCAACAAACTCAGACAGAACAAGAGAAAGAGGATAAAGGTAAAGATAGACACGCCGTGTTCAGTGTGGGCCACTGCATAAACCCTCGCGTGCTAGCCTGCTCTCTGATTTCCTTAGGTCACTGTGCTTGTGCCTCTCATGCCCTGCAAACTTGATTGCTCGTCTTTTACTTAGGGTTTGTGGAAGGTCTCTATGTGTGGAAGTTAGCTCACTGTAAAATGAATAGTGAGTACTTCCCTTACTTGGTTTTCTTTTTAGCTTTGTGCTGCCAATGTGCATGTACTGTTTTCTTTTTTTCTACAGCTTCTAGATTGTATGTGATACTCAGAAAGTCCATCCCCGGTGTAAGAACATGAAAATTTGCTTCATGATTCTTGTATTATTTAATATTAACCCGTCTAGAGTCTCAGCATCAGTGGTCAGGTCACCTGTCATAGTTTGATTCCCTTAGCTCGTGTCTTTCCTTTTTTGTTGTTGTTTTCGTTTTTATCGGTACCAGGGATCGAACTCACAACTGCCTGCTTGCAAGGCAGGCGCTTATGCCGCTGAGCTAAATCCCCAGCCCTTGTGTCTTTCCTTTTACAGAGGTCCTTGTGACTAACCCCAGGGTTTTTATTTTTTCAGTTCTTTATAGCTCCAAGCTCTACAGATTTTTCAAATATATTGAGAATCGAGATGTCGCTAAAACAGTGTTAAAGGAGCGGGGCTTGAAAAACATTCGCATTGGGATCGAAGGTAAATCATAACCCCGGTCAGACTCAGGAAGGGTCAACGTTGTGTCCGTGTCCACAGCAAATGACTGCAGAATTGAGCTTGCAGGGGGCCTGGAGAGCGGGCGACGTGAAAACCACACTCTTCCTGGGAGGATTCCTGTTTTTGTTTTGTGTTTCCTCCTTTCCTTCCCTTTCACTCCTGTTGGAAATCCTTCAGGATGAAGAGCAGGGCAGAGGCTGGCGGGTAAATGGTGGGTCTTGGGCTTCCCCGAAGGGAAGCATGTTTGGCCAGAGGTGGTATTGGTGAGCCTTTCTGGGTCAGGAAGGGTCCACCTTGAGGACCAGAACTTAAGGCGGTCCTCTGCCTTTGGGGACTGTCCGGATGTAGGGATGAATGCTTTAAGTGATGGTAGGCCCTGGCTCCCCACCTCTTTTCACCCTTGCTTTGAGAGGAAGGAGAAAGTGTGCATGTGGAATGATAGCCCGCCAGAATCACGAAGATGGCCTTCTTCTGTTTCAGGTTACCCTACCTGTAAGGAGAAAATCAAGAGACGACCTGGTGGCCGCTCTGAAGTCATCTATAATTACGTGCAGCGTCCCTTTATCCAGATGTCCTGGGAAAAGGAGGAAGGGAAGAGCCGCCACGTGGATTTCCAGTGCGTCCGCAGCAAGTCCCTCACCAACCTGGTGGCTGCTGGCGAGGACGTCTCAGAGGACCAGGAGCTGCTCATGCACCACCCACCGCAAGTGGATGAGCTGGACAGGCTCAATGCCCCCCTCGCTCAGGGGGCGCCTGGTGACTTTCAAGACTAGGCCCACCCCTTGCCAGAGTGCTGCTGTGTGCGACGCCCACCCCGAGCTGTGTCACCCTGACACACGTCTCCCCTACTTTTGGCCTTCCCATGACTGTGTGTCCTTTTTGGTAAGTCTGCGCCTCTGGCGCGGGCAGAGGAGCACTCTGGTGGTGAGGCTGCCAGCTCTGCAGCTGCCCTGGTAACCTGAAGTTTTGGGGGGTCTGGTGCTGTTCACTGAGCCTGCGTAACTGCAAGAGTATGAGAGGAAGCCGAGATGCCTGTGCCTACGAGTTAGCAAAGCAGGGCGCGTCTCCCCTCTGCTCTGTGGTTTTGTTTGTTGTGTCTTGTGTCAGGCCAGTGCACAGTAAGCGGCAAGGGACCAAACATAGGAGACAATCAGTCCTCAGAGACAGCCCTGAGATGCTCACAGGATGTGACTGAAATGCCAGTCCTGGGGTCTATACCCTGACTGCAGCTGCAAAGCACAAGCTCATTCAAAATCACTGCAAGAAATTCTTAGAGCTGAAATTGTTTCCTCATTAGTGAACGATCCAAAACCACCCAAGTTCTTTGGCAGGAAGAGTGACTTCTGAAACCTGTTTAGCTTCAAGGTTTATGAACTCAGGCTGCTGGCTGACTGGGAAAGAGACTCGAGCAGAGCAGGCCAGCTGCTTTCAGGCTGGGCCACCGGGGACCCTCAGCACAACGTCGCGGGGTGGCAGGAAGGCCAGGGGTGCAGGTTAAAGGCTGGTGAGGGAGGAGAGGCCTTAGCAGCGCTCAGAGTCTTAGATGTAATGAATGGGGAGAAGGCGCTTGGAGCACAGCCAGATGGGAAACGTCCCCAGAGACTGGCCCAGTGCAGGCCAGGGAGTTAGGGCAGATAGCGCATTTCGGTGTTTAAGACACCCCAGTCCGTGCTCACACTCGGGGTAAGGACATGACGCCGAGGTCCCCACAGGAAGGGCAAGGGGAAGGCAGGTCAGGCCCAGGCCTCGCCACCTAGTTGTTTTTTTTTTTGTTTTTTTTTGTCTTTTTCCTTTTTATCGGTACTGGGGATCGAACTCACGACCGCCTGCTTGCAAGGCAGGTGCTAATGCCGCTGAGCTAAACCCCCAGCCCCTGCCACCTAGTTTTCGGTTAGCTCTGTTAACACAGCATGTTGGGTGACAGTCCAGCTCGGTCTCTCCGATGCCACCTTCCTCTGACATCTCTGTGGAGTTAGCAGCAGGGCTAAATTTAGAGTCTAAAAGCCAGACAGGTATCTGCGAATTATCTCCCACTTTCTGGTCAAAGTTGCTGACCACGGCATTGACCCATCGTGGATTGTGAATGGGAGAGTGGTTTCCTTCTAATGTGAGAACAGGACTGGCTTTCTAAATTCCTTTCCTGTAAGATGCTATACGGCAAGCTAGATTCCTCCAACATCAAAGTCAGGTATTGAAAACCCTTTTCCTGGCTTGAGGAATAAGAATTTTTTTGGCCTCAAACTCATGGCCATCTTTCTGCCTCCACCTCCCAAGTGTAGGGATCACAGGCCTGCACACTGTGTTGTGCGTGCTTGTAGCCAGCCATCGCAGGGGGCGTCGGGGTTCTATTCCTTACCAGGAAGGAAGCAGTCAGCAGCTGAACAGCCGTCTACTCCCAGAGCACTGATGGCCATTGGTTTCTGTGGGGAAATGGCTGGGGAAGGGTTAGGGTTATTTGTAGCCAAGAGGCTTCTGTTGAGGTCAGAGGTAGCCTTGGCCTTGCCAGCACCACATCTGTACCCACCAGCCGCTGACCTGCCTGGCGGTCCATACGGTGCTTCCTTGGCGATCCTCAGTGGCTTCTGTGCCGCTGAAAAGGAAGTTGGAATTGTCTGTGTTGGCAATGTAACTTCTCGTTAAAGGGTAAACCTGCCGTAGCCAACACTTAATTAGTTCTTCCTTAGCTACAGAGTTAAGGAATAGGGCATATACTTGACACTGTGCTCGTGTAATTGATTATTTTCCTCCAGCTTTTACTAGGCATCTTCCTCACCCTCTTAATTCTAAGCTAACGTGCATTTTGACCCCAGCCAGTGGGTCTGAGGATGTGCGGACTGTGAAGGTTATCTGCGGTGTCATCAGCGGTGGTGACTGCCTGAAAAGGGACCACAGTTCCTTCCGGTGGAGTGTTCTTCTATGAGCCTCCCCGGCCACACACCCCCCGCCTGGACCTCAATGTCATTTAGTGGCCAGGCAGTCCTGGCAGCGGGAGTGAGGGCCAGGTGGCCATCATCCCCTTCAGAGTTGTTACTAGTCAGATGGGTACATGTGGAACTTGGTCTGGTGACTTTTCTAAGTGCCTAAATCAGTGAGTCAGGCTGGGTATACATTTTCCTAAGAAAATGGTTTCTCCAGAGTGTCTTAGAGCGTTTCAGCAGCCAAGATGCCCTGACTTGAGGTTCGGAACCTCGAGTTTGTGCCTGCATCGCACCTTACATAGCTGGTTGGGAAACGAGGCGTTGCGGGAGCCAGGGGGCGGCAGAGCTGCTCACTTTATGCCATGGTTTCTCTGAAGTGGAGGAAAAGCTGGAATAGAGCAAAAAGAAGGGAGATAGAAGGAGCCAGGTTTTCTGCACAATATAATAACTGAGTTATTTAAACTCAGTGCTGAGGACAAGGGAGTTATCTAACGCGTACAGGTCTGGGACAGGACCACCAATCAAGCCCGGTAAAGATGGGCATCTTTTTAGGGTTCCAAAGGCTCGGTCTTGAATACTCAGAGCGCAGGCTTTAACTCAGACCTCGTCACCAAGGGTCCTGTGAGGTCTTTCTAAAGTCCAGCGTTTTCAGTCAGGATCCAGTGCCGCTTCTTGCCATCCCTCGGAATGCTTAATGGATGTAGCTCAGAATGTACGCGGAGGCCTTGGTGGGGCCAGAGTGCACCGTGTCCGATGGGATCGCCCTCGCAGGGGCACAGTTGCGTCTTCTCCTAAAGGCAAAGGCTTGTAGGCGATGCCTCTTTACCTTGTACTTACTTTTAAAGTTGCACTTGTTCACCTACCAGTGTTTACGAAATCCTACACTTGGGATGCTTTTTTCTATAATAAACGCTATCATTTGTGTGTGTGTGCTGCTTTTCTTTAGCAGGAAGTTAAATTACACAAGGTGCTCCTCTCCCTCAGGAGATCTGGGCCTGCACATTTTCCCCCTCTGCTGTTGGCAGGCTCGCAGGTCTAGAGCCCGAAGGGGCTGCCTTTGCATAAATACCTGGCTGAGGCATGGTGAGACACAGGCACAGTGCGACACACCACTGTCAGGAGCCAGCAGGATCACAAGTTCAAGGCCAGCGTGGGGAACCTGGCAAGACCCTGTCTCAGAATTCAAGGTGGAAGGCTACAGCTCCAGGCTTGGCTAGTTTGTGTTCACGCCCTGGGGCCAGACAGCCTGCAGCAGACACCAAGAGCTAAGCATTCTCTAGCACAGCTGTGGACTGACAGAGACATGCACAGCCCAAAAGCAAGGAGGAGCTGCTTCCTGTTGGGCAGAGGCTTCCTGCGAACTGGTTCTGGGCTATGTGAGGGCCGGAAGCTGTGGTGCTCTAATCCCATGGGAAGACAGTGGTGCACAGGCAGAGTGGCACTAAACCACCAGGCACCAAAGAGTTTCAGCAGGTGGTCTGAACCTGAAATTTGGGATTGCTCTGGGAGCACGGGGACATGCCTGAAAGGGGAAAGAGCAGACCCCTGCGGTGGACTAAGGACTGATGCAGTGACCCTGGCAGCACAGATGGCCATGCCCTGACGCCATCGGTGTCTGTGGAAGAGAGCCCCTTGTATGCAGGCCAAGTTTCTGGCTCAGACATATAGGTGGGCTGTTTTAAAAAGCCCTTGAGAACAAGAGGGACTGCATTTGGATAGGCTTGTCTAAGGCCTTCAAGATGGTTTTTCATCCTCTGGTACTGGGAATCAAACCCAGGACCTTGCATTTGTCAGGCAGGTGCTTGTGCCACTGCAATATATCCCCAACCCCAGATTTTTATTTTTTTTTTTGAGATGGTCTCACTGTGCAGTTCAGGCTGGCCTTCAACTCATTTTGTAGCCCAGGCAAGTCTCAAACTTGCAATGATCCTCCTGCCTCAGCCTTCCAGATAGTTTTCTAGTTAAGTACTTAGCCAAGGGATCTAGAGTTTTGGGCAAGGATCCAAGAAGGTCAGGTCAAAGGGGTGTGAGGCCAAAGAACAGGAGAGGTAAACACTGACATTCCACTCTGTGGACCAGGGCCGCCAGTACTTTGCTGCTTTGAATTGTAAGCCATTTTGCTTTACACACAGATTTCCACTGCTGTTTTCACACAGTTTATTTAGAAGTTTACAAGTTAAAATGTGGGCTCTTTCCCCTGCCGCTCCCAGCAGTCCCTAATCACTACACTATCCCGTTACCTCTCTAGTCGCTTACCACACATTTGGGAAACACCGGGGTCAGGACCCCACTATTTGGTAATACAAAGACTGTGAAGTTACACAAATCGCTCATTTACTTCCTTCTCACTAATCAGCTATGTGAAAGATTAAGGGCAAACACATTGCATTTAGCCAGTCCAGACTCGCCCAATATTCTTTTCACTTTGTCTAAGATACTAAAACCCAAAGCAGTTTCACTTAAACTGCAACTGGTAACATTTTCTGAAGGGCTTAAGTTCCCTTCAAAGCTGACCTCACATCAAGACTAACAGGAAGCAGCCTCCCGTGATACCCTGCAACAGGCAGTTACCACACAGGTGCAAACAATGCCTTAGGAGCTTTCAAAACTTAAAACCAAAAACTAATACTGCGTCAGTATGGGACCTCTTTTTTCTGACGCAGTAGAAGTCGTCCCTAAAGGTGGTGGCAGCTGTGGCAGAGAAGGCACTTGTGCTAAAATTTAGAGGGTCTCGAGAGACCACTGTTGTGGAAAGGCCTGGTCAGCACAAGCTGCAGGCAACCCTTAGGCCTGGGGGAGCTCCCCCAGGAAGGCATTTGCAAAGGAAAAATCCGTAATCATGATTCCAAGGCAAAATGGCTACTCAAGAGTTGGGAGAGGAAAAATACCAAGAGGAGAGATAAAAACAGCCGACCAGGGACCCAGAAGTGACTTTATAGGGACCTGTCTGCTGGCTGTGCAGGTCCCAGGAGGCCCTGGGGACCCTGGAGGGGCAGCACCTTAGCCAAGAGGCAGCCAGCTTCCCTGTTCCCAGGAACCGGCTGAGTTCTGCGGGCAGCACTGGCAGGCACTGCAGGTCCCGACAGCGTCTGGGCATTTGCTGACAGCTGTGAGCAGGGAGGCTGGCACGTGACACAGACTCCTCGGCAGCGCCAGTGGCTTTCCAGGCCTGTGAGAAGCCGTGTCCCCCATCAGCACTCGAGGGCAGTGCGAGGTTTTCCGCTGGGTGGAAAGGACGAGTTGAGCAGCGGACCGAGGGTTTGTACCTTAGTACGGTAAATAAAGTGCACCACGGGTGGAGGCTGTGAGCAGCCACTCGCTCGCTCGTTCGAGCCCAGGTACAGGGAGACACTACTGTCCCCGCCCCCAGGGACGGTGAGAACTCCGTCAGCCACCGCGCTGGCTGCTGAGGTGCTTTGCTGCCTTAGCACGGTGGAACCTCAAGCCAGACAGAAAAAGAAATACTTGGTGGGCTTGGCAGATTGCAATGACTCTCCTGGGATTGGCTGATACTCGGTGAGGACACATTACAAGCCAGGAAGTTTGGAAGATGGCTGTTTCCCCCTTCATTCTGATGAACGTAGGGAAATTCAAATTATTTTTTAAAAATACCTGTTAAATTGGCTCCCAATGCTCCTAAAGAAGCGAGATAGCTGTTTATGGCTGATGTAGTAGAAATGGCTGTCACTGTTCTAGCAGTTTCAGACACATGATGGAAGAAAATCCACTGACTACCACGCTTTAGGAGATTACTGTGACACAGTGATGGGTGCCATGAATTTCTCAGCAGCTCTCTAGAGAGTGTGGAGGAAAACCATGTCGCACAAAGACCTTGCTCCATTGGAACCCACGACAAGGGTCCTATTTCGCTGCCTTCATGTAGGAAGGTATTGCCCCCCTTGCAGTCAGGCCCTCAAAGCGCTTGTATGTGTAATTGATGAAGACCCAGTCTTTGTTCTTGTAGTCGGTCTCAGGGTGGTTGCCTGTGGCCACTGGGAAAGAAACATGTGAAAGTTGATCCACTGCCTCACCCCAGTGGGCTGCTCAGTGTTGAAGACATGACTGACTGTAGAACACACCGCAGTTTTTACTTGGAAAAGGATTTTTCACTGAAATTTTCTACATTTGCTCACCTTTGTTAATTTTCCCACTCCGTCATTTCAGTTTACCTAACCTTAATAACGAGAGACAGGCTTCTGAGACTTAACCAACCATGCTGAGCAGACTAAACACGCAAGTCTGAAACAAGGTCTCACTGCTCCCCAGTGTTGGTACTGAGAAATACTTACAGCTTGGAGAACCGCAGTTCCTCTCTAGTTCTCTACCCTGATTTGCAGACATCTCAAAATTGGGGTGAGGATGGAGAAATGACATGATTATAAGGTACCGGAGGCAAGGCTGGTGGAATTACCTGTTGGCTTAAGAATATCAGATTCGGGGAACTCATCGAAGTTTGAAGTATCATCAATGCTTTTGATTTCAATAGATATCACCGCAGGTCTCTCTCTGCCAACAGACATGCCAGAAATTACCATGGTTAGTGCTCATACGACTCATGCCAGTCATGTCTTTCTCCAACAAGACTGCTGTGGTCTGACACGGGAAGATCATCCAAAGGCAGGCAGCATTTATTTTCTTGAAAGACTTGTAAATGCTGACCAGCCACCTGACTATATCCAACAAATTAACTGTGATGAAAAAATGAGTAACTCAATCATTTATAGCTAGGGGAAAGGATAATAAGGGGAAGCTAAAACATCCCTGAGAAGAAAGAGTTAAGCTGTGTTAGGTGCATGCAGCAAGCCCCACGCAGAATGTCAGCATTGAACTGCAAGCATATGAATAGAAACTAGGAAAATAAAATAATACCCCCAGTGACCTTCCCTGTCTACTGAGAGGAGAAACTGAACCCAAGTGTCCCCTCGTGGACATCTCTACCATTTCCACTGGAGGTAGCAAACAAAAGAACTAAAGGAGGCGGCGGCGTAGGTAAACATCAAGGGTGCAAATCAGAGCACATTATAAAATGGAATGACGAGCACTAAGTAAGGTCTAGGGCTAACGCAGGTGGCACAGGCTCGTGGCCACCACCGCCCTGGAACATTCTTCCTTTCCTCGCTTCCTTCTGCATGGCCCCTGCCATCCTCCTTCCACCCATTTCTCCCTTCCCTCTCTGGGAGTAGCCTCTGCCCTCTGGGCAGTGACAGGCTCTCAGCGCCAGCAGCGAGGTCAGGCAAGAGCAGACGGCACACTTCCGAGCTGCGCCCCTCACACGGGGCCCGCAGCTGCCCACCCGGAAGGAACTGCGGGTGCGATACACGCCATGGCGGTGGCCGGGGAAGCTTGGCTCCCAGCCTTCACCGAAGTGAACATCCAGGAAAGACCCGAAATTTCTAGAAGCGCTCTCCATTCTCCCTTTTCAGCTTGCCAATGATGGTGGTTTCAAATTAGCAGTAAGCAAACCATACACTTTCTGAAGTAATTCTGAGCATTTTTATATGGTATACCTGATATGTTCCCAGTCAACACCTTCAAAAAAAGAATTATTTTTGATTTCCTCAACTCCAGGGGCTCCAATTCTATGTTCCCATTCACAGCAGAATCTGGAAAAGACAGATGCCTTTCAGCAGACCTCGAAGTGTTTCTTACGTTAAAAAAAATCTCCTCCTCTTTGTCTTTATTTTCTCCTGAGAGGAGAGTAAGAGGAAGCAGGAACAGAACTAGGAGGTAATGAATTTTTTAAAACCTTCATTCCTGTCATAACCCCTGACCAGCAGGTGGGGGACAGTTTCTGATACCTCAGAATGAGATCCTTGGCTCTCTCGGAGATGGGAACTTCCGGAGGGAAAGTCAGAGTTTCTTTCCAGTTCATCACCTTCTTGTATGTCTCTTGAGGGGTCTCAGAACAGAAAGGTGGGTAGCCTGTAATAAAAGAGGCACTTCGAAGCTCTTCCACCCACTCTTGAGTCTGAGATTGCTCTCCGGAACGCAGCTTTACATGTCCACTCCTGTGACATGGCCAGGACCCCCACTCATCCCCGAAACCAGAAGCTGCTTCTGCTGTTTCCCCAAACCCCTAAGCCCAGAGCGCTGTACTGTTCCTCTGGTGCCAGTAGGAAGACAGTAATAGTTGCAGCTGAGAAAAGAAAAGAGGACGTAAGAGAGACGTAGGAGTAGAGCTGTAGGTGTGGGGTGCACCGTGTCCAAAGAAATGAAGGGGTGGAACGATACCATTGCACAAGACTCTGCTCTCGGGATGTCCTGTATGGCAAAAGTGCCCAACAAGCTGAGTAACAGCGTAAGTAGGTTTCAAAAGTGAACGTCCTGCCTCTTTTGGACAAGTGCAGGCCAGAGGAGAAACACATGCCGTTAGCTGCCTGGCCCTCCAGACAGGGAACATCTACCTCCATGGCCTCCATCCAGTGATCCCAGAGAAAGACTACCGCCTCTCCTAGTGTTCAGTGACACATGGCCACCCCTACAGATGTGTCCCCTAAATACAGAGACACCATTCAACTAGAAGGGAGAGGCCAATGAGCCCATTTTGAAGGCTTTTTGACAGAGGACAGGGGCAGTGAATTAATTTACAGAGTGAGTGAGGCAAGACCCAGGCTTTCTGCCTATGAGGTGTGATTTAAAAATACAGTGTTTTTAATAGAAGTAAACGTGTTACAGTAAGAGACTGCCATTAACCCCTCAGAACACTAGCCTCACTTGCAGTTCACTCAGCGCAATGTTCTGGCCACTTCTTGAAGCGGCTGTAGAAGTCCCTTAGCCTAGCTTTACTGGGGCCTTGGTCACCTTGGCGTTTAGGGTCAATTCCAGATTGTCTCCTTTCCATGGTTTTGACCAGCAACTAAGGTGGATGAGGGCACCCCGAATGCCTGTGGTCTGCCTTTCTGCTGGGCAGCACTGCCTGGTGGCATCCACTGTACTTCTGATCACACCTCTATAGGACTTCAGGGAGCGGCAAGACTGATGGAATGTTTGAAGTGAGGGGGCAGCATTTTGGGGGGAATTAATGGCAATGTGATTTTTACTGTAATAAAATTTTAACATTCACTGTAGTTTACAATCACCCATTAGACAACAGATGTTTCCTAAGTGCCAGCAGTGACTAAGTGTACTACATGGAAGGGATGAAAGCATAGAACAACATGATCAGAAAGGACTCCTGGGATGCCAGAAAGTCTGAGAATACAAATGGAGTGGGATACATGTGACTGACAAAGAGCTGTCTAGAAAACTCCACTTGGAAAGACAAGTGGGGAAGAGGACCTTGACCGCCTTTGGCTGGAACAGCCTGATGCCAGCGTCCTGGATGCACACAAAGTCCTCTGGGACATGCAACTTACCGATGAGCATCTCATACATGATCACCCCAAGCGACCACCAATCACAGAGCTTGTTGTACCCGGTCTGCATGAACACCTCGGGAGCAATGTAGTCAGGAGTGCCTACTGTGGAGAAGGCCTGAAACACGTACCACACGTCAGGGGAGCACTCAGCGTGGCGCTGAGTTCTAGTCTACAAGCACCACCAGGAGCTACCCCAAACTACGTAAATAGCATGCCCAGCAGTTTAATGCAAGATTGACTTGCCAGAGCATTTTCCAAAAGGAACAATGAAGCTTTGTTAACGAGCTGAAAGACCCTTTTAAATAGATTCAAAGCTCCTAATTCACTAGATCAAGGTGTCTTACCACAACAAGCACCACCATTTACTGAGCACCCATTAAGAACCAGACTCTGCATCTTTGTGTGTATGTAATAAGCCTATCCACTCCTGACAAAACTGCACAGGGAGGTGACCCCTGTCACCATTCTCCTGGGGTCTGCAGAGCCCTGCTGTTAGAGAAGGCGCACTAAGCGCTCTCCTCCGCCTGTCTGACGCATGTGTCCAGGGTGCTCCCGAGTGTGTGGCCAGAGCTGGTGCTGCAGGGCCTTCCCACCATTTGACTTGGTTTTTCCCTTGTTTATATTTTGATATACAGAGAATTTTTGCCCCTTTAAAGTACTAAAATAAGTATAAAATTTCCTTTATGATTTGTACTGCTTGTGTCTAATTTAAGGAATCTTGCTTTGCTCTGAGGTCATATAAATATTGTTGTGTATTTTCTTAAGGTTTTATTTTTCATACAGCATTGATTTTTATATACAGTGAAATCAGGGATCCATTTTTTATACATTACTTTAAAAATACAAATATTAAATAATATAAAAGCTCGTAAGTTTTAAAATTTTGTACCTTCTGTGTATTTTAAGATTTAACATCTGAACCAGATTGGGCCTCCCCCCACAAATCAAAAGTATTTTCATTCTAATCATAGAAGAAAGAACTATATATACCCCCTAATTTAGAGATTAAATTTATTCTAGCAAGATAAATACTAAGTAAATTTTACTTGATCAAAGATTATACAACTAGAGGTCTGCCGACACAGGAAAACAATCCCTTCAAGATATTAAAATGTTAAAAAATCCATGGATATACATGTACCCTCTCCGCCCAAGGAATGTAAACATTACAGGCTGTACACATGTACTGCTAACCCACAGCCAGCACGTTCACACTGTGAAAGGGAGGAGACATGCCTTGCTCTGGAGCTGGAGCTGCCACCAGAGCCTGCCTGGCTTCCGCAGTGTTTGCAGAGGCTGAGCCTTCTCAGGCTAGGCTCTGGCTGCTATCCACACTGTCCTCAACTCCGGCCTTGCACCTAACCCTTCTTTGGCGTCTGAGTAGCGCTGGTGAGCACGGCCACCTAGAAGAGCTCTGCCAGCTGAAAGCAGTCACGTCAGTCACATCATATGTGCTAAACCTTAGGGTTCCTTTTAAGGGTTGTGCAGGAAATAAAGTGACTTCTTTTCTATTAATCTATGTCCATAAATTCTACCCTAAAGAATAAACTGACAGGCAACCCTCTCGGGACCTCTCTCCTCTCTCTCTCTCTCTCTCTCTCTCTCTCTCTCTCTCTCTCTCTCTCTCAGAAACTTTCTTTCAATCTGCTCCTAAGAAAATAAATTAAACAGAAACTGACAAAGATCTTATATACCACCTCTTGCCTCTGTGGTTTAATAATTTCAAGCTGACACATACCTTTTACTTAATTAAATACCAGGGTCTAAGACTACCCATGACCACATCACAATTTAAAACATTACAGTAGAATCCAGGCAGCCAACGAGCAAAACCAAGGTGTCTGCTTTTTTCCAGTGACTCCCAAAGGACTGAAAAGCAGCACCTTTGGGGAGCTAATTACATACCTAGAGCATACATGTACACTAATGATTAAATGGCATCCACCTTGATGCCCGCCACACTGATTATTTCCAAAAGCCAAAGGAAGGGACATTTGGAAAACTAAGGTGGCTTTATTTCTTCAAGTTATGAAGGGAGGTAGCATGAAAGTGACCCTAATTTACACTTTCTCATTTCTACTATGACTAGAAAAGGCAAGAACTTTAATTACTGCATCAGGGCCTTAAATGTACTCAATTTTCAGAAAGCTTTTTTTTTTTTTTTCCCCAGAAAGCTATTAAAATGACATCTAACTGCAGATCCGGCAGTTGTGTGATCTCCTTCCTTGTAGAACATTAAAGGTTGCTAGTGAGGTTGAGTTGGGTCCTCTGGTGCACATCAAAAAGCACAAAGTGTGACTCAGAGTCTAAGGATGGTTTCAAGGTGCTTAAACTTAGTTACCCCTGAAATGTTAACATAGTAGCCAAAAATTACATTTTGACTCATTCTCAAAAAGGAGAAAAAGACTGTGGGTATAGCTCAGTGGCAGAGCATTTGCTAGCAGGTACAAGACTCTGGGTTCAATAAGCAGCACCACCTTTCAAGGTTCTTTACTATATGGTAGCTCCAAAATATGCTGGGGTTTCATACCAGTTTCCCGAACAGGCAGGAGCCATCATTTAGGAGTTTTTCTCAGTGACAGAACCATTTACTGCATCGTGCAATCACCTAGTCTTTCAAACTTCAGATACTCAAACACCATAGACCAACTGCATCAGTCTCTGTGAGTGGCAGTCAGTATCAGTGCGCTCTGAGATTCCTGAAGTGATCCTGGTTCGTAGCCATGGAAAGACACAATAAACGTGCTGAGTGTGCTGTTGCAGACCTATGATCCGAGCACTCGGGCGGCTGAGGAGGGAGGACTGCTGCAAGTTTAAGGCCAGGGTGGGCTACAAAGTGAGTTCAAGGCCAGCCCGAACTGCACTGTGAAACCCCATTTCAAAAAGGACAAAAAAAAAATAAAAAAAATTAAAAAACCGGTTTCACTATGTGGTTCGGGCTGACCTCAAACTCATGATCCTCCTGCCTCAGGCTCCTAAGTACAGCGGTTTTACAGGTACATCCATGCCTGATTTGATTCTTTCTTAATCCCACAGGCTTCCATTTTCACAGACGACTAGCATTTACTTTCGAGTGACCCAGAACATGAGTTATTAAAGGTTCTATAGAGAAGTCTAATTCACGCTTTACTAAGTAGCCTGGCTAAAACTCACCATATCTGGCAACCTGCAAAGTACCATTGTACATGCAGACATGTGTTTTACTTCATATATGAACCTATTAATCAGTTATATAGTTAAACATAAATTTTGCCTACATAGCAACATCTCCTACTAGTGAATTTATATTATTTAAATAACTTCTAACAGCTGAGCATGGTGTTACATGCCTACAATCCTAGGAGGCGGAGGCATACAGACTGCTGTGAGATCAACACCAGCCTGGGCTACAAAGCGAATTACTGAACTGCATAGGGAAACCTAGCCTCAAAAAGACAAAGAAAAAAAAATCCAATGTACTATCAAGGTAAATGCAATAAAGCTACTTATTTTTATGCCTTGAGCATAATTTTGTATGTGTAAAGATTTTACTTTTCCTTTATATTTCTGTATAATTTTGATTGCTAAGTACTCTTTTTGAACTACAAACTAAAAAAAGGAAGCAGATGAATTGAAGAATCTTGCCTAAATGGATCAAAATATAATTCCTTTGTCAAGAAAGGTAGACCCGGAGGGAAAGGTACTGAGTATTACCAACTGGAAGCCCAGAACAAGGCCACTCACTGCAAGTGTCAGAGAACAACCTACTGTTACCTGCTCTCCTTTTGGTGCTACCAACACGATGGGGCTCTATTAAGAGAACTTTTCAAGCAAGGGATATGCTGCAAATATGTACTACATGCAAATTTACGGCTTATTTCCAAACTTATTCGTACTTGGTTTATAGCATTACAGAAGCCACAGATACTACTTACTAGCTGACGTCTGTTTCTTTTCCAGGTTTCTGCTTTCCTTTTGGAATTCATGTTTTGGAAAGCTAAAAATAGATAAAACAAGTTCTAATCAAAATTCGGATGGGGCTATTTACTGCTGTGGAGAGTGCTAGTTTAAGTCCCATGAAACCCTACATTATAGTTCCTATCTAGATGTCCCCAAAACCTCAGTTGGCTGACTATGGCCTGAAACTTCTAACAATTGTGACCCAAAATGAACCTCTCCTCCTTTAATTTGTTAGAGTTGGATATTGGATCCTAGTGATGATCAGTGACCCAGGCATCTAAGGCCTGCTCTTATCCCCACATACTAAAAATTCCAATGGCATATTTCCCAGTATCTCAGCACGTCCAAATCAGAAACTCAAATATTAGCAAGCACTATACAGTGAGGGCTGCAAACAATACTCCATGTGGATGAAATGGCAAGAGAACACTTTTGGATTTGCAGGGAATTTGGTCTCAATAAAAGCAAGGGTCCTAAAGTAGACCTAAAATATTCACAATTTCTCAAAATTATCATCAAAATTCTAAGAGTAACAATTGCTACATACACAAGGACCTTCCAATGTGGGCCACATTATTTGACATAAACTTTCCCAGAATGAATTGTGCTTTTATTACATAATCTTCAATGATTTGGTAGTGAAGAAAAGGTAACCTCATAAAGGTGAATTTCTCTGGACTGAAACAAAGAATCACCTAGGACAGTGGTGGCAAACTTATGGCACTACTGTTGCGATGTTTTCCTTTTAAAACAAAAGATGTTAATGTGAGAGTTGTTTTTTCTAACCAAGGTTTAATTGCAGCGTTGGTACCCTGTGATAAAGGGGTTTTGGCAGCAGCCTGGTGCCTGGTCTCTAGGCCTGCCAGTCTAGGATAAATCTAGACTGGACAGTTTGCAGAACTTTTCTTCTACAACTCTTGCTTGCCCGCCCCATGTTCATCCACAGCACCCTTCTGGGAGCGCTCTTAGGAAAGCACGTTTAACGTCAGCCTTAACACACTGGCCTCACCAGACAGTATACATCATCTCCTCTTTAAAAACCCATGCTGTGGGCACCCCCTCCGTCCTGAGTAAATTGACTGCCAAAAAATAGCTCTCCTCACTCCCTTGGAACAAAAGGCTAACACTTACTGAAATCACTGGGCAGGCTGTGGTTCAGATTCCGATAGAACTCTGTCCTGTGTGCTTTCTTCAGTCCTGTGCAAAGGCCAAAGTCAGAAAGTTTCACATGGCCCTGAGGAAAGGAAGGAAAAACGATGAACACGCTTGCATATGGAACAGAGCACTATCTTCTGCCCCTTCCCCTGTCCATTACATCTCTACAGCCTAAGGATACTGGGTTTTCTCCTTTTATTACAGAGGAAAATGTGTAATAATAAACTTTTGAAAGAGCACCCTAAGTGCTACCATATTAGTGATTTTCATTTTTGCATGTTACCTTTGGTTTTGTTCAAATAATAGATTTCTTAACACAGCTGAACACTCCATAGAACCTAGAGATAATTTTTCTACTTTAATGAATATAATCCAACTATTTTATGTTTTTACAAAATTACCATTTTTAATGTCTATAATAGTCCTTTGACTTTTAGCACATTATTATTTATTTAACCATACTGGATTCTTTTTTTTTTTTTTTTATTTAAGAGGAAAAAGAGAAAAACACAAAACAAACCAAAGCGGCGTAAGGGTACACGCAATACAGAACTACAAAACAAAACAAAACAAAACAAAACAAAAAACCATAACAGTAAGAAATTACCTGCTAGTAGATTACACACTATTTTCTTGAAAATAGTTCCTCAAATCACAGTATCAAAGAACACAAGGTGGACATTCAAACAGGGAGACTGCAAACAGCTGTGTTCAATGTTCCAAAAACATTGATAAAGTCAGCTATTTAACACCCCCAAACACACTTGCTGTTATATCCGTTAGAGCTCCTTTTCTTTTTTTTTTTTTCCCTCTCTTTTTTACAACAAAATTTACACATCTTGGATTTTATTACTCCTTAGTGCTTATTACTTTCTTTGGGGGGGGGGCATACTGGATTCTTAACTATTTTCAATTCTTTACTTTTATCTAACATGGATTGTAACTACCCTTGAAAGAGGGGGTCTGTACCCCCAATTCAAACTGTGCGGGATACACAGGATGCCCTGAATAAATGGTTGTTAAAATTATGAGTAATGAACAAATCTTGTTCATATAGCTTTTTCTCCTCTTGAATTTCACTAGGACAAATTCTAAAAAGTAAACTGCTTAAAAGACAAAGGGAATAATACTTCAGTCACTGCTTCAGCCTCCCTCCTAACCTCCTGGAAAATGGGGATAATGACACCCTTCTGGCATAAATGAGGATCAGCGCATGCATGGCTCCTAACACAACGGCTGGCACACAACTAGCGACAGAAAAGAAGTGTGTGTCTTGGGGTGGTGGGAGTTTAAGTGCATGGAAGAGGTGAAACAAGAGCAGCAGAGGAAGTCCTGACGCTCGGGAGGCACCTGCTGAAGGTCAGTCGGAACTGCAGAGGCCAAGGTTTGAGCCTGAATGACCTCGGGCTGGTCTTTCTGCAGTACCCTGTCCAATGGGTGCTCTTAGGGCTGAACACACGAACTTGCCAGAGCACAAGGCCAAAGGATACCTGCTCAGATGGATCAGGTTTCACGTTTTGTTTTTTAAGGAAATCCTATCGGATGTGTGTGTGTGAGAGAGACACAGCAGGTAAACTGCTATACAAGGACAGCTCTGAGCCCACTCAGAATCTTTTTTCTGACTTGCAAGTAACTTGTCCTACAAGCCAGGGAACAGACTTTTAATTTATAGTTCTCAGAATTACATGTTTTGCTGAGGAAAGGAGATGTCTTAAAATCAGTGCCCAGAGCAAATGTTATTCAAGCCTAGACTTCCAGAGAATTTTATAGCTCTTCTGAGTACACAGCAGAAACTCAACACTTCTGCATTTGTACACCACAACCTATGAATCCAACACATAAATGGACGTGCATGTGAGAGCATTTTAGTACAAGTGGAAGGCAGACCTGCACCTAGAAGGACCCTCACACCTCTCCAGCTAGGCCGGGATCTCAAAGTCGTGGCCTTCAGTGTGTTTCATGGACCTACACATAGACTACAGCTAAGCCAGTACTAAGACACCTGGGTGTCTGAACCCAAAACCACACAAGGCAGGCCAATGCTTATTAAAAATACATGTGAACTCCATTTGGTTTTATTCTCTTCAAAAAAAAGTAGTAAGAACTGTGAGAGTAATAAAACCTAAAAAGTGTAATTGTTATTGTAAAAAAGAGAAAAAGAAAGTGGTCTACAGGATATAACTGCATGTATATTTAAGTGTGTAGGATAGAAAACCATATTACTAAGTTTTTGTTGGATCATTGAACAGAACTGTCTGCAACCTCACTGTATGAATGTCCACTTTGTATGCTTTAATTTTGTAATTTGGACAACTGTTTCTAAGATGACAATATGTAATCTATTAACTAGTGATTTCTTACTGTATATTTTTTTTCTTGAAATTCTGTATTACTTGTACCCTTTTACTCCTTTTTTTTTCCTTTCTTTTTTCTCTTTAAATTAAAAAAAAAATACATGTGAACTTGCCAGGGATTTAAGCTCAGCAGCATAAGCACCTGCTTGGCAAGTGTGTAGTCGTGAGTTCAATTCCTAGTACCAAAAAAAAAAGAAAGGAAAAATAATATGTGAACTTAATGGCATAGGATAGATCTTATATAGCACTAATATTTAAAACAGACTAAAGGTTCTTTCGCACTAAAGGGATTTTCGAGTTTCTCTAGATCAGTATGTTCTCTAGTTAACAATAGCAAGGTTCAGATATAAACAGATTTCTCACAGTTATTCAAAATTTAGTTAGGTTTGAATCCTGGCACAAAAATAATAATAACAAATTTAGTGGCACAAGAGTTCTGTTCTGACTTACACTGACTTTTAAAAAAAAGCTTATTTTTTATATCTAAAGATACCTGTAGCTGGGCATGGTGGTGTATACCTATATACCTAGCACTTGGGAGGCTGAGGCAAGAGGATCATAGCAAGTTTGAGACCAACTTGGACTCCAAAATGAGCTGAGGGTCAGTTTGAACGGCATAGTGAGACCCTGTCTCAAAAAAGACAAAATAGGGGGCTGGAAGTTTAGCTCAGCGGCATAAGCGCCTGCCTTGCAAGCAGGCAGTCGTGAGTTCGATCCCCGGTACTGATAAAAAGGAAAAAGACAAGAAAAAAAAAAAAAGACAAAATAAATGAATGAAAAAAAATAAAGATAAACAGGTCATTTCAGAGGTTGTGCAGAGGGCATGTGATCAGCAACTTGGACTTTGTGGGAGGTTTTTGTTTCTGCTGCTGCCTGAGTTCCTGGTTCTTGCCTAAGTTCCTCTTTAGCGCAACATAAAGGTGACGGAAAGGTGGTATATTAGCAGTATGGTTAGTTATATACTATGAGAGGATTACTCTCTTTGGCCTTATTACAAAATAACCTTTAAGTCAATTTTGCTCTTGAGTAGGTTCACGAATGTCCTATTAAACAACCACGAGCCTTTCAGAGAGAGGAAGTAACAATAAACATGCCTGTTTAAAAAAAAAGAAAGAAAACCTACCAGGCATAAAGCAGCTCCCCCAAGCTGAGGTTAGCATACTATTCCTAAGATACCTTGCTGTCCAGCAGAAGGTTGTCTGGTTTGATGTCTCTGTGGATGAATCCGAGCTGGTGAATAGAGTCTATGGCTAACACTGTCTCTGCTATGTAAAACTGAGTCTCTTCTTCCGTCAGAGTGTCTTTTTTCATCAACAGGGTCATCATGTCCCCTGAAAGCAAAGGATACAAAGCCACCACCATACACCACAGATACACACACATACCCGTGCACACACACATAACACACAAACAAGACATGATTAAGTACTGGTTTCCAGGTGTTTCTCCCCTATCTGCCAACACTTGGCAGCTAAACAGAACTCTGCTGTGTTCAAAAATTTACCAACATTGCCAATAGAAGGCAAATAGCAAGTAGTTTCTAATCCTTAAAGGGTAAGAATCACAGCTACCAAGAGCAAAATAAGCATTTTCACACCTAAGCTTGGCCACTGACCACTTGCTGGGCTTTCCATTTGACTTTTGAGAAAAAAAAGGTAATTTCTCCCATACTTATTTTTACAAAAAAGTAAATTTGCTTAATTTGGGGAAAAAACTGCTTTACTTTTCATTTTGCACAAGCATCAGCAAACTTCTCTACATGAGAAGTAAATGTTGTGAAACATAGGTTATGTTACATAGGTCACTGTTACAGAGAGAAACTGTCATGCCACATAAAAATGTCAATAGCTGGGAAGGTTGAAAATGAGCTTTTCAATTTGTTTCTATTCACAAAAAACTAGAAGCCAAAACAATGAAGAGGTGGGACACAAGTAGCCAAGAATTAGTCCACAGGGCAGCAGATATGGTAATGCATGACTGTAATCCCAGCATTCAAGAGGCAGAAACAGGAGGATTGCTGCAAATTCAAGACCAGCCTGGGCTACACAGTGAGTTCCAGGATAGCCTGAACTGCATAGGGAAATCGTGTCTGAAATAGACACACACACGCAAAAAAAAAAAAAAAAAACAAAGACAGAAGCAATTAGTCCACAGGAGAAAATGTTACACACTGCAATGTATAATAACTGCTTTTCAAAAGTGCACACAGTATACCACTCAAGATCAGTGGGCTTTCCACAATGTTTTACTATAGATATTTAGGTATATGCCACTATCTTTTATATGTCTTATAAAACAGTGTCAATTTTTAGCAGTTAAATGGTAACTTCTTTAGTTTTCTGCAAAGTCAAAGCTTAATTATTTGTGCTTAATATCAAAAACATTAAGCAGCAAAGATTCAAATCCTAAAACTCAACAATTAGAAGCAAATATGGATAAGTTACTTAAAATTTTAAGAAAGAAAAAAGATTTCAGTTTAAACTCATATAAGGCTATTTATGATACAAGACAGGGAAGAGAGAAACCTTTAATTTAATAGAGCATCACTGCTACTTTCTGAATTTAATTTCATTCATAATTTTAGTTTTTGTATTCCTGAAGAAAAGTCGGTATTTACCTTAGGCAAAAATGAAACCATTTATTAGCTGCTCTTTCTGGACTAAGATTTGAAAAACAGGCCTCCTGCTTACAACCAGCAGCATCTGAGCCAAAGATGCCCCAGAGATGTGGGGCAGTGCCCGTAGGCCCACACTGGGGTGGCTGCATGGCCTCCACGCGTGGCTCAGGAGTGCACCCAGGGCCTCACCTATGTGAAGGTTGCCCAGACCACTGGAGAGCTCTCACCAGACAGTCTGTGGCTCTGCAGGCCAACTCCACCGAGCACAAAGGGCAGGGTCCAGGGCATACAAGAAAGGCTATGGAAAATGGTGCAGGAGAAACCCAAACTAGCTCTTCTTCCTACTTAGGGACTAACTGAACATGCCAGAGTTTCTCTTCATTTTACTAGACAGACTCACTTCTAACCTTGATCGATTAATGACAAAAAATTCTTGGTAACCTTTGATCTAAACTGAGGGTTGCTACAAGATCAATATATTATCCCACAATTGTATTTGCTTTGCTAAAACTAAAAAGGAAAAAGTTGTCCTTTGTGTTTTTCCTCCTGAGTTTGCTCAGTTTATCTGCTCACTCACTAGGAAACAGACTGAGTTCCCCAGAGCAGAGTGTGATCTGTTCTGGTTTACTATGGAGCTGTTTTAGGAGATACAAATGCAGAAGCATGGAAATCTTGAAATCTTAGAAATAAAAAAACTGATTCTGGCTTCTAACAGAAGTAATAAGAAATTCATTTCCTTAGTTAGAATAAGAAATCTAAAAACTTAAAAGCAAAAAATGTTATAGCTTCAAATTTGTCCCTTGGATAACCTGTGTATGATTCTCCTTGGCAGGAAAGCAAGCAGAGCTCCTAGTTTATGCTTACACATTTTAAAGAAAAAAGAAAGAAATATCCTTTTGAAATTCTGAGAGTGAATGAAAAGGTTCTAAGATTGGAAAAAGACACCCCCAGCACAAGACAGATTACCAACCTCCTTTACAGACCTAAAAGAGATACGGAAAGCAACTTTGTAAGCACAATTAAAAGTAGAAAGGGTTAATTGTTGAGGAGAGAGAGAAACCACAGAACAAAAAGGAAAAATGACCTTTCATCATTAAGTAATTACCTCCAGGCAGGAACTCCATGATTAGGTAGAGGTTTAGCTTATCCTGAAAACTATAGAACATTTTCACAACCCACAAACTGTCTGCCTCCACTAGAATGTCACGCTCCGCACGAATGTGGCCAACCTGGAGGTATATGCATTTGATTAATGACAGCCTTGCTCTGCTTTATCAGATTGCTTATCTGCTTAAACAATTTAAATACTGTTTTGAGTACTGTGATGGTCCAAAAGACCCGCTCAGGCACACCTGCTAAAACTCAAAATTGACATTTGACTTAAATGTCATTGGTGATGAAAACTGAGAGATGAAAAGGCTATAAAAACTGCAAAATGAATGGCTTTAATGTAAATGGTAACAATGCTAAAAATTAAACCTCTTCTTAAGTTAAAATCACCACTCTTTTGCAAATATTTTGTTCTAGCAACTTCTCACAATAAAAACAAGTCCTCAAAGTGAGGCTCTTTTAAGGAAGTCCTAGCTCAGGTCTGCAATGCTATCTAAAACGACAGTGACCATTCTAGAATGCTAGGGTGCCACAGTGTTCGGTTCTCTGCTAGACATATAGTGTACTCATCAGTGCTTACTGAACTGACACACAGAATACCTAAAAGTAAAGTTACAGATTCAAAATAATGACATTTCTTCCCAGTTTTCTAGTTTTACTGAAATGTCTAGCTAAGGAAACCAAGTTGCAAGAGGTTAGGGAGAGCTAACAGAATTATTTTGCTGAAATAATGCTTATATCAAATTTACCTTATTTACTTTAAATATGCAACAGTAATCAAAACACTGCTCTCTCACCCTCTCTTCTTTTTTTAAGTGTCACAAGAGCCAAAGGTGTTGAATCTAGTCTAAATTTATTAAAACCTGGCCCACGCCTTTAGTAGAGGTTTGGCGTTCACATACACTGTCAGTCGTAAGTGTTCTGAGGCTCACAAGCGTGGGTACCTCTGGGGACAAAGTAGGCCCACGGTTGTTTTGCTGAGCACTACTTTACTGAAATGCCTGCCATGGGAACTCTTCCATTTGGACCCCAGCCCCACTGTCTCCCTGTCTTACATCAATCTGGCCTCACTGTTACATGCTAACTCTTGGGCATTTGGAGACACTGAGTTTACATATTTGAGTTTTCTCTCTCTACTAAAATTATTCTTTGGGAAATTTTGAAATAGTTTCAGTATGCAGAAAACATTTTTACATTGGTATTTATCATGCAAGATAAGGCAAATATACAATAGAGGTGATGCAGAACAGTGGCATGAAAACCACAAGAAGCTAAAATAATCAAACATCTCTCTTTACTTGACTTCAATACAATTTTTTGGGAAATGAATGCAGTTATGCCCCAGAGTTATGTCCCTGCCCTACCAGACACTAAGACTGTAGAAGGCAACCTTCACATGCTTGCTCCTCCTGGCTGCCACTAAGGGTCTTACCAGAGATAAGGAGAAGCACTACTAGTACCATTTATCACTCATCCTGGAGGACAGAATGGTGACAGTAACATTTCCTGTCATGGAGAAAGCTATGGTCGCTGCAAGCACACCTCGGCCTGCTCTCCTGGGGATGAAATAGCAGCTAGAAACCTCAAAATGTACAAGTGGAGTCAGCTGAATACAGAGTAAGAATGGGAAGAGGCGGAAGGGCTACTCACACCAAAGAGTCTCTTTCCCCCATTCCGTAAGTGTGTAACAGGGCAGGGTGCTTGCTGCTATCTGGAGTACTGAGACAGCAGAGATAAAATCAGCCTTTCTTCCCAGTATAACAGTGCACTTGGCATCACAATGGAAAGTTTGCCTTTTGTACTAGAAAAGAAACATCTAACACTAGCTTAATAGGTGTGCTTTACCTTTTACAGATTTTCTAGGTGGCAGAAATTTCCACCTTGTGGGGCAGAATAACCACCTCAATGCTCATTGAGTAGCTTTAATTCCTATTAAGTTCAATAAAAGTAAACCAAAAAAAATGATTTTTCCTCTAGATAAGAAACTTATCACTGTGAAAAAAAAAAATGCTCTGAACCTAAACTTTGTCAGCTCTACTGAAAAAGAAAGGATTTGCACTGGCCTATATCTTTAACCTGACACAAATCTGCTGGTGCTCCTTTAAGAAGTCTGGCCCAGGTGGAGCCTGTGAGCACTCTTTAGCCACAAGAGATGAAACCCAGGGAGCTGAATCCATTAGCTTAGGTAAGCTAAACACTTGCATTAATGTGCCATTTAATGCATAAGTTAATGCAGAATTTAAAATGCTAATTGGAATAGACATTTCCTTTTCTCTTCTTTCCTTTCCCTTTTTCTTTTTAAGACAGGATGCTGTTCTGCTCTGCAGTTTAAGCTGGCCTGGAACTCACTTTGTAGCAAACTGGCTCAAACTCACAGTGATCCTCCTGGTTCAACCTTCTGAGCGCTGGGATTACAGGCGTGTGTCCCAACTGGCTTATGTCCTTTATTTTCATTTGGAAAATTTTAGAAATTGATTTTTTTTTTTTTTTGGTCTTTTTAAGACAGGGTCTCGCTATCTGTTCAGGCTGGCCTTGAGCTCACTTTGTAGCCCAAGCTGGTCTCGAACTTGCAACAAAGTTACTGCCTCAGCCTCCTGAGTGCTGGGATTACAGGAGTATGCCACCACGGGCAGCTCTAGAAATTGATTTTGAAGAAGGTATAATCTTTGAGAAAAGATTTTTACATGCTAATGTGTTAGGATCACAGTTATGCTGGACAAGAGGCACATGCTAGGTAGAATTAATAATTCTAAAAATCTTATATGTATATCACTTTACAGTTTTCTTCCAACTGCTGATTATTTGCTATCAGTTTTGAGTCTTTGTTAAAACTATAGGAAATATACCTTGTAAAAATAAAATTTACTCATGCAATGTAAATATAAAGACTAACACAGAAACTATGCTTTACTTCTCAAGAGTAACTAGTATTCTCTCAATGCCTACACACCCGCAGTATTCATTAACTTCTAGTAACGAACAAAAAGGACGACTGCATTTTGCACAAGGTTGGTGTTAGCTTAAACGATAGTGTCTAATGATTGACTGCCAAGGATTTGACACTCTTGACTGAAATTTCTGGGAGTCTAGGGCTTCTGGGTAACACATAAAAATCAAAGAAAAAATAAAATGCCCACATTTTGAGGTGGCATTTAAAAGAAGGCAAAGAAGCTCCGTGACTTTTTTTCCTCCCGGGCAGCAGAAAAATAGTCAGGCCAGTCTCCATCCTTGCCCTTGGGCTCAGTGGGAGGGAACTCCCCTTGCCACAAGGTCCCTGTACTCCTGTAACATCAGATCTTTTATAGAGCACCTGAGCCATCACCTGCTGCAATCTATTCTTGAGCTACATTATTTTTATAGAATGGCTACATTCTCACTTTTAAAAAAATATACTATCCAGTTATATTCTCATTAATTTTGCATAAAATACTTCTGTATCTCACAAATCTAGTTGCAAAGTTCAGGTTCCAGAAAGTTTTCTTTTTTGGTGGGGAGGGATTGCTAGGGATCAAACCCAGGCCTCAAGCATGCTAGTTAAGTGCTCTACCACTGAGCTACATCCTCAGTCTCTGGAAAGTATTCTTGATCATTATAGAAGAATTTGTGTTGCTTTGACATTTGCATACTTTTTAAATTCACTCAGAAACTGGAACACTGGTCTCTCTCAGGCAATGAGCGATAGGCCATTCAGAAGACCTAACTTTGACTTCATGAACAGAAAGGCATATAAAAATGTTTTATTTTGTAAATTCTTAATTGTAATTCCTAGTCTTCAGTTCCAAAATATATATACAATTTCTCTGTCTCAGAATTTGATAAGAAACACATTTCCATAGTAATTATGACATCCAAAAAAGGTTCTTATGACAAGGACATCTTGTGATTAACCAGGAAAGAAATATAGCAGTGGCTTCTTTAATAAGTTTCAACTTTAAAAAGAATGTACACATCCCATAAGCATTATTTGTATTTTTAAAGAGGTAACTGCTTCTTTGCAAGGGAAAAATAGCATTAAATGTCTAAACAATAGTAGTAGAACTAGAATAGCTAAAGAAAACTAAATACACATTTCCACTAAGCAAAAGAAACAGTTTTAGGAAACAAAACTTCATAAGCTGCCTAAGAGCACTGCTGTAACTCTGCTTTACCTGCTCCTTTTCAAGCATGTCTGCTTTGCGGAGGATTTTCATTGCATATACATGCCCTGTATCTTTCTTCTGAACAAGCCGCACCTAAAAAGTGATAAAAGAAATGTTATGTCTGTATCTAGATATTCCCCTCAAAGCCTCATGCAGTCATAGTTGGGGCTTTGCAGAGATAGCTAGACCTATACTGTGTGATACTAGGATTAAGTGTGTGACGCTGGAATTAAGGGTGTGTGATTACTACACTATTCCTGTGGTTGGTTTGGCACAGTTCTGGATGTGGATAAATGCAAGACCCAACCTGGGTGTGAGTCCTACCCATCCTACGGTGTATAGCCTGAGAAGAATATAAAGGACAAAAAGAGAGCGGCTGCCATGGCTTGTTGTTGGTGCCTTTTGCCTGTCCTGCTTTGTCATGGACTGTGTCTCCTCTGCCGTGCCACCCTGCCTTGGAGCCGGCTGACCATGGACTGAAACCTTCACAAACTGTGAGCTACATAAACCTCTCCTCTGTTAACTTTGGGTGTTGGGTATTTTGACTCACCATGAGAAAAGAAAGACAGATTCCAGTCAAAAATTCACACTACCAAGTTAATGCTTTAATGTGTTAATAAGAATTTCTTTTGCAGCCTGGGTAGATACCAAGGCCTAACAAGTAATACCTTAAACTGAAAAAGTATTGTAATTTCAATATAAGCAACTAGGAGAAACAAAGCAGAAGAAATGTTTTTCAAAATTTCAACATGAATATATTATTGCTAGCAATGTTAATGCTAGACACAGCCACGAAATATCTATCTCAATACTGTTAGCTCCCCAGCTGAATGGAGCAATCCAATTTAAAACTTTACTTTGAAATTCTTCAGGTTTAGTTAAATCCCTCATATGTATTATCCAGTCAGCTCAGAGAACCTAAGTAAATAATTACAACAACAAAATTAAAGCTCATATATAGAAAAAAGTCTGAAGTTAAAAAAAAAACAAAAACAAAAAACTCCAAAGCATTTCCTTAGGGGAGCAAGGTTTCATGAAGTTTTTCTTTCTTTTACATTTTCCCAAGTTTTAAAAGAGGGTTGGGGATTTAGCTCAGCAGCATAAGGTGGAGGTTGTGAGTTTGATCCTGGATACAAAAAAAAGCTAAAAAAAGTTTTAAAAGAAAACAGATAATTCTATGATGAAACAAAGAACAAAGGTCTACAGACCAAAAGAAAAACTTGTTGCTAAGTTCTAGTATATCCTCCCCTTCTTTCCCAGGATAAGGAAGTTTTATTTTCCTTGTCTTTGTTCATGTTTTCCTATCAAGCCTCATGTCCCTTCCTCCCTAAACAGAAAGCCTTTTTTTTCCTTTCTGAGATAGTGGGTGATGAACTCAGGGCCTTCACACTGAGCCAAATCTGTGGCCTTTTTTCTTAAATTTTGATTTATTAGTACATACATTTTTTGAGACAGGGACTTGCTAAGTCTCTAAGTTTCTTGAGCTGGGCTCCACTTGCAACCCTACTGCCTCAGCCCTCAGGATGCTAGGATTATAGGTACGTACCACTATAGTTGGCTGGAAGTGCTTTTAAGAGCACTTTCCCTCTCAGCAGATCAGCAGGAATTTTGACCACTGAGGAATCATTTTATCTTTACCTATGCCTCTGAAATGTTACAATTACCCTGGGTACTGGTTTTTAGTACTATGGTCTTCCTCTCTACAAATTATTGTAACTATCACATTAATAGATTGTCCACTTTAGAAGTTTTCCATTTACAAGGGTGACCTTGCATGAGCTCATTCAAACTGTCTCAATAGACTGCTCTCCAGGGATTAAGCAGGACTTACTTGTCAGAGTAGCTGGCCAGCGAGGCATGGTGATGCATGCTTGTAATCTCAGCTCTCAGAAGACTAAGGCAAGTTCAAGGCCAGCCTAGGAAACTTAGACTTGAATCAAAATAAAATTTTAAAAAGCACTGAGAATGTAGCTCAGTGACAGAATGACGCTTGCCTCACATGCCTGAGGCCCTGGGTTCAATTCTCAATGCCAAAAAAAGTGGCTGAGTAAAAGTGAAAATGCTTTCAATTCTATACCTCCATCTATATAATTCTTTTCTATAAATTCTGCTTCCTATGATCACTTTGTTAGAGGTACATGAATCTGATGGGAAGAATAATGGATAGTGTTATGGTTTGTGTCTGGATGTCTCCCCTGCCCCCAAAACCTCATGCAGTCAAGGTGGCAGCTTCTAGAGTTGGTGACTGACTCATGATCTAATGCTGAGATTATGGGTGTGACTGCAACAAGCGCTCTAGGGTGGGTAGCCTGCATACAATGGAAGGCATGGAAAGAGGTTGCCCTTACTTCTCTTGCTTACTGCTTTGCCGTAAATTGCTGCCCCCTGCCATGTGCCACCCTGCCTTGGAGCCATGTAATTATGGACTGAAACTTCCACAAACTGTGAGCTAAATAAACCCTTTGTCCTTTAACTCTGGGTGTTAGGTATTTTGTTTCAGCAGTGAGGAAAGTAGCTAAGATAGATGGTGATACAAGTTACTGTCATGATTATGGGAGAAGAGTACTATGTGAATAACAATTTTCTTCTACATTTCAAATCTTCTCTAAATCAATATTAAAACACTAATATAGTTTCTGGCAAAACAGAAAAGAACAGAGATCTTGGACAGTGAAGAGGGGAAGAAAGAGAGAAAGAAGCCAGACAGCAGTTAGTAGGTGGGTCTCACATACTGACCCACCTAATTGCATGTATTTTGGCTACACTGACAATCATAAGCTTACACGTTAGAAGCTTTAGATTGTGTAGTATTTTTGTGCTTGACAAGTGGCTGTGGTTTTTACCTCACCAAATGCACCTCTGCCTATCACTTTTAAGGACTCAAAATCTTCCAGTCCAAGTCTTGTTCTTTTCAAACGGAGAAATTCTGTTTCCTTCCGAGCATGAGCTGATCTCCTGAGTCGTTTCTAGTGTTTAAATAGAAGAGGAAGGGAAAGAGAAGGAGTTGGAACTCTGAAACTCTATACCAAAGTCATTTTATGTCTTGCCCAGCTGGAAAGCAGGGCCAATAAGAAGTGGCTTCTCCCTTTCCTGGCTGTCAGATACAACAAACAAGCACACTGCACAGAGGGCACCTCCTCTTCACAACCTACTATACAACCCATTAGGCAGACCTTTCCAAGGAAGGGGATAAACCAGTATTTTCCCTTTGCCTGTTTCCCCCCCGCCACACACACACAGTGAAACTCACCATTTGTTTTAACTTTTAATTATTCCTACAAGTGCTTTGTCACTGTCAGGGTTCTGCCTGAGTCCCTCTGCCTCTGAAGCTTTCCCACACTGTCACAAGTACTCACACACACAGTCTTATTCCCTCCTCCGCACCCGTGGGCAGTGGGCAGCAGGGCTGATCTGAGACAGGTCTTCACCTTGACAATGACTTCAGCAATGTGCCTCATTTCTATGGAGCTTTTTTTTTTTTTTTTTTTTGTCTTTTTCCTTTTTATCGGTACCAGGGATCGAACTCACGACTGCCTGCTTGCAAGGCAGGCGCTTATGCCGCTGAGCTAAATCCCCAGCCCCTTCTATGGAGCTTTCTAAGTGAACTGTGTAAGAGCATCATCCCTTGTTATTTTAAGTTTTTGATTGTTTCATCCTTTTTCTTAGAATTCTAAACCTGAATATTACAACTGTGCCTAGAAACATCTTCCTCTCTTAATTCTCCCAAATTTAGAAGCATATCACCCCTTAAAGTTTCTCTATATCTCAGCCAAAATCCCTCCCTTTGGCACCAAAGTTAACTTGATGCATGAGACACAGCTATTCATGCTATATTCCAAGATATAGAATTCCAATATTAATTACCTCTTCATCTTTTAGGCCTTCTTCTTCCATCACTTTTTCTAACTTCTTTTGTCTAAAACAAACAAGAAAAATGTAAGAAAAAAACCAGGAGTATCTTTCTATGCAAACATAACTTGTTTGCTATTTATTTATTTATTGCTACTAGGACTCAAACTTGGGACCTTGTGTTTGCCAGGCAGGTACTGTGCTACTGAGATAAATCCCTGTCTCCCCCCGCTTTTTTTTTTTTTTTTTTTTTTGAGATAGGGTCTCGCTATGTAGCCAAGGCTGGCCTGGAACTCACAATGATCTTTCTGCCTCAGCCTCCCAAGTGGTAAGATTACAGGTGTGAGGCCCCATACCTGGCAAATATAACCTATTTTGAAAAAAAGTGACAAAAGCAAGCAAATCTACAATGCTTTATTAAAATAAAAAAATTTACTACACTAGAAGTGAAAAGATTGCCCCTCTGCTAGGTCCTGTATTTTCAAAAGATAAATTAATGCAATAAAGACTCTTTTGTTTCAAAGCTCAAATTTTTCCCTCCCCATCCCCACCTCTCCTCCATACAGTTATATTCTCCTTGTCAAACTACACAACAGTTGCTATTTGATAACTTCTTAAATCAAGGTATTTCTCTCCCTCTCTCTAACTGAAATCTACTTCATTTGCATCTTCCTCTCTGTCTCTGCCAAAAGCAAACATTAAAAAAAATAAAGGTAAAGGCAGAATGTGGAGATTAGGGAGAGGGGATCAAAAAGATGATTGGCATCACTACCAAAACTTACCAAGTCTCTGGAATACTATACCTTAGTTTAGAAACTGCATCCAACACTATGTGTGTGTGTTTTGTTTTGTTTTGTTGTAGCGGGAATCAAACTCAGGACCTTGTGCTTGCCAGGCAGGCACTGTGCCACTGAGTTATATCCCCTGCCCGAATATTTCTGATTTGTGGTCTCATCCTGATTTTATAAAGTTAAAAGAAGTAAGTAAAACTTCCTGATACTTCATTTACTCAGCATAATAAAAGAAAGCACATGGACTGGAATCTCTCCATCACTCTCAGCATTCCAAATACACAGGGAGGGATAAGGGTGCAGGAGGCTGAGGCCAGGGCATACAGTCAGTGGGGCTGATACACAGTGTGGTGCAGGCTGGCACTTACTATGAAGACACCTGGGCACTAACAGAAGCCTGTGTGCAAAGGAGTGCTGTGCAACTCTTGGTGGTTGTTGTTTTGTTGTGTGGGTTGTTTGTTTTTTGTGTTTTTGAGACAGGGTCTTGCTATGTAGTGCAGGCTGGCCTTGAACTTGCGGTGATCCTTCTGCCTCAGCCTCTTGAGTGCTGGGATTGCAGGCATGTGCCACAATGCCCAGTGAAACTTCTGTTTTGGAACAGTAGCCTGAGGTAATGAGGATCTGATGGTCTAATGGGCAAGGAGAACAACTGAGAGACATGAGGCCAACTAAAACCTATTTTATTAATTCAAATGTGCAAAAAAGATCTGGTAGTCAGGCTGGAAAACCAGAATAAAGTGAAGGAGTCTACTGCAAAGAAAACCATCTGGCAGCAGGAGTCATGGGAAAGAAAAGTTTTAGATTTTCTTATCAGAGGGAACATGTTGCCATTAACCAAGATAGGAAACCTAGAAGAAACAGGGAAAGAAATGAGTCTCACTGTGGTCAATGAGCATCTATTACAGTGACAGTACTCTGTTAAGACAAATTCTTTGCTAGAAGTCATGAAACAAATCTATAGGATCAAACAATGAGTAAGAATTTATGTCCAAACTCAGGAAGGAAAATGATCCATCTTATCCTGATGGAAAAAGTGGGTCTACATAGTTCCCAGTGTCCCCAAGTCTCTTCACCCAGTTCCCAGAACATTTTCAGATACACATCTCTATGTGCGTACATACTAAAGGAGGACTCTAATTCCATCTCTGTGGTTACACAGTTGAAATGGGGAAGAGTAAGAACAGTCACAGCATAACATAACAACCAGTCAGTCCTTTTTGTGTCCACTGTTCTGTCTGACTGCACTAGGCTGGGCTACAAATCTAACACACTATCCAGTGTCACAAACTGGCTCCTTATGACCGTATTTCAAATCCACATACAAACTTAGAGGTTTTCCACAGTTCTACTGCAAGTGTAATTAAACTGGTTTTAGTAGAACATCTGCCTGGGAATAAAGTTATCAGAAATAACTCCTTGAACACAATTAGATTATTTCATTAGATAAAGTACCTACAACAAATCTATCATGACAATGACTTACTGGGATCTGGTCTGCAAAGACTTTGAGAACAACTAAAATACCAAGCCAGCCTAAAATGGGGCTTTAAAATGACATCCTTTGTGGGATGATACCAAGCATCTACTGTGAACATGGTTTGAGTAATCATGACTTTTTTTTTTTGCTTTAAACAATTTATTTAACTGAAATGGACTTCTACTTTATTTTGATTCATCCTTTCCCCATGATGATTTTACAGAACAGTCAAGCCAATATAAACATTTCATAAATATATGGCCATTTGGGTTTATACTCACACAACACCTCAACAGTATCTTTCAGCAAGAAAAATACTGAAGAGTAAAGACTCCACACAATTCAATAGGTAGGATGAAAATCTGCTCCAAATACTTGCTTCTGAGGTAAAGGAGCCCACACCTGCCTGCTGCTCAGCTAAGAAAACCATCCCTACAACACAGGATGACTTTTGAAGCAGGCCCTAGACCACTCAGCCGCCAATCAGGTTCTGAAAGGCAGAGCTCCATCCCCAGCCTCTGCCCTGAATTCCAGGGTACAGGGTCCAGCGACTCCGGCTCCTGCCCACTGGTCCTCACACAGTACCCTTTTCTGGGCGGGGTGCCCTGGCACTTCAATTGAACCCCAGAACCTCTTGGGCTTCCTTCTGTTTCTGATCATTTTCCTTGACACATTTCAGGAAGCTACCTCGACTTACTTCGTATTTAATATGCTCAGTACCCACATTAATCCTCTTGGCAAGATTCTTGCCCTTAACCTGCTTGTTTACAACAACGCCAACAGCATGGCGGGTAACACTGTAGACCCTGTTTTGCCATGGTGACATGTGTGTGGCTTTCCTTTCTGCACAGCACCCACGCCCTTGATGTCTACAGTACCGCCCCTTTTTATAGATTCACATGTGTATAGCCAAAGGAACAACTCATGTTTTCTGAAAGGCCTGGACAACATACACCGGGTTCCCCTCTTCCCCTCTGTGTTCATCATTAGTCTTAACAATGACTGAACCTGAAGGATAAATACGCTAAACATAGGCTCACTGTATTACTGATTTTTAAAAAATGTTCATGATACAGAAAAAAAAGCAGGCCCCTTCCTAGGCATACTGCTGGTACCAGTGCCAGGTTAGCTAATGTTTTGGTTCAAATCTAAGATGTCCCCCAAAGTGTCATGTACTCAGAGGTAGGGCTGCTGGAAAGTGACTGGATCATGGGGGGAAGGGGACAACACCAATCAGTAAATCCATCTACTGGTGAGTTCACTGCTGCATGTGCTGCTGAGCGGTGGGCCTGCTTGAAGGTGGGTGACTGGAGGTATGACCTCGAAGGGTATTCTTGTCCTTAGCTCCTCCCTTCTCCCTCTTCCTGGCTGCCATAGGATGAACAGCTTTTCTCTATCATGCTCTCTATCATATCTCTGTCTAGGTGCCAGCCACCATGGACTGAATTCATCAAAACTGTGAGCCAAAGTAAACCACCGCCTATAAATTGTGGGCTTCAGGTATTTTGTTCCATCAATGGGAAAGTGATTAAAGAAAACTGGTAACAGGGATGGGGCTGCTGGTATTTGATCTTGCGATTCAGAAGTCTTTGGAACTGCTTTACTGGGGGAGTTTGGAAAGGTTTTGAGATGCAGGCTACAGAAACCCTAGGGTCCTATAAACAGAAGTTTATGGGTGATTCTGGTCAGAGCTAAGAGGAACAGAATGCTGATGGGAACACAGATAGTAAAAGTTCAAGAGGTTTCATTTGAGGACAAGATTCCATTGGCAGTTGGACTAGATGTGTTACATTTGGACAATTTAAATTGTGTTCATATCCAAAGATTTTGTGCGAGGCTGACTGTAAAGATGGCAGTCTGATCAATCCTATTGAGAAAATTTCAAGGCTGCCCAATGTCCAGGTTGCAGCATGGGTACTGCTGTCTGCTTTTAGCCTGGCTGACAATGACAATTTGGAACACAAAGCAAAGCTGCATCTAAAAAACAAAACAAAACAAAAAACAACTGTAGCCTTGCCAGATAAGAAGCCACTGTAAAGCTGAGGCCAAGGAGAGCCTGCTGAAAAGGTTAGCATTTCGAAGAGGTCAAATACTTCAGAACAGTAGGAAAGATGCTTACAGGGCATATCAGAAAAGAGCCAAACCACACCTACTATAGTTTCAAAACTTATTTGAAAGACTGCTTTGAGAAGAGAACCCAAGGAGTCTACTCATTCAAGACTACCTACGGAGGTGCTTCCCCTCAAGTTTAGCAATCTGGGCAATCAGCCATGGCTCAAGGAAGGGGACTAAGCTACTCCTTGAGCTGGCAGCAGACCTTGGTGTCATCCACATGGAACTGGTTTTTCACGCACGCAGAATGCAAGAGTTTATAGTCATAGAGGCTTTCACCCAGATTTCAAATGAATTGGGATGTAGGAGCACACAGTACCTACCAAAAGCCCTGAGAAAGTGATGCTTGAAGCTGTGAGAGTGAAGCTGAAGGTGCAACGGAGACTCTAGGAGGTTGGAAATGCCAGCAATGTAGGAGAATACAGACAGCATTCTGAAGCACTGTGTGATGGACACTGTGCTGGAGGAGATGGGTGCATTTGTAAACCATCATCTGTGAAACTTGCCATAGTGCTTTTATGAAACCACCCTAAATTCTCATACTTTACTTATACACAGGAAATAACCCCCCAAAATATTCCAGCCTTTCTTCTATCTCCAGACTTTGGACACACTCCCCATGCAATAGGTTATTTCTTTAAAATATAACCTTGTGCTCTACTAAAATGAAATGGCATGTAAGTTACAGAGATTATGTATAAATTGCATGTAATTTACAGAGATTATTTCAGACTGCCAAGTAGGTCACTGTGTACCAATAATAAAATATTTGTTCATCATCTGTTGTTTCATATAACCAAAATTCTGTTTACCAAGATTCTATGATATTTTACTGTAACATCTGAAGTTTGAAAACTCACTTCTGAAAAGATAATTTTAGTTTACTTACGGCTGAGGTATCTCCTGACAATCATCACTTTTTGTTACAATTTTCTAACAATAATAAAACCTAAAAGTTACAGCGAACTGTATTAACTAAATGAAACTATCAACTCATATCCAAAAAAGAGGGCACAGAATGAAAAACAGTTATAAGGAAATGCTGTTTTGTTTTGTTTTTCTTTCTGTAGTACTGGGGATTAAACCCAGGGACTGTGTACTGAGCTGCATCTCCAGCCTTTTTTAGATAGGTCTCATGAACTCGTCAATGGGCTTGAACTTGTGATCCTCCTTCCTCAGCCATCCTGGCATTATAGGAATAAATCACCATGACCAGCTAAACTGATACTGATTCAAAGTATCTATTATTTCTTTTTTTTTTTCCCCCTTTTTTTGTGGTACTGGGGATTGAATGCAGACCTTGCGCTTGCCAGGCGACTTATGCCGCTGAGATAAATCCCCAGCCCATATTATTTCTTTTTTTAATGAAAAATAATAGTGAATAATGACAAAAATTAACAAACATGTTAGCCTTCTTAAGTATCTTTTTTTTTTTGAACAAGATTTTGCTATGCCTTGAACTCATTTTGTACTCAGGATGACGTCAAACTCCCAGCGACTCTCTTTCATCAGCCGCCTGAGTGTAGGGATTGCAGGCATGCATTATCATCTGCTTTTTCATTTATTTGATCTTTTAGCAGAGGAAAAAGATAGGACTGAACGAGTAAGCCCAGGGGCCCAGGGTTTCACTCGCAAAACCACAAGTCACAAGAGCAAAATAAAGCTTTTGGAAAGTCTTTTAATCTTAAAACTTTAAAATGAAAAAGTGCTAACTCAGCCCTACTTGGGAGTGCAACACTAGTATAAATCACAATATAACATTTATTAATAATGTAAACAAAAGTATATATTATCATGTTCCTGTAGAATGTAATATACATCAGAGACAAATCCTAGCTAGGGCAGAACCAATGGGATAAAAACCAACAGACTATTATGAAATAAAATAGCTACATCAGAATCCATAAATATTTGCTTTAAATTACAATTATAATTTCTATGATTTAAACACTGGTTGAATTTGACAACAACTATCACCAATGAGTTTCACATGCTATATGCTATGCAAATTTATCTCTGAATTCTAATTCAGAATCGTGCAGGCACATGTTTGCTTAAGTGAATACCAGCTGGACACAATGAGATACAAAATACTTGTCTAGGGGCTGGGGATTTAGCTCAGCGGCATAAGTGCCTGCCTTGGGAGCAGGCCGTCGTGTGTTCAATCCCCGGTACCGATAAAAAGGAAAAAGACAAAAACAAAAAAAAAAACTTGTCTATTCCATTTATGCAACTGCATATTTAGGCCAGGTGTGGTGGTGCACTTACAGTTCCAGCACTAAGAAGGCTGAGGCGAGAGGATCACAGTGAGCTTGAGACAAGCCTGGGCTACACAGTGTATTCAACGCTAGCCTGAACTGCCCAGCAAAATCCAATCTCAAACAAACCAAACAAAAGCATAAATTCAAGCCATGCATCCATGTAAATTCTGATTTATACCTTCATGAAAAATAGGCTTTCAAACAACATATCAAATCCAGCAGCATGGGCTAGGGATTTAGCTCAGCGGCACAAGCGCCTGCCTGGCAAGCGTGAAGTCATGAGTTCAATACTGGTACCAAAAACCAAAGCAAAGCAAAAAGAATATATACAGCTTTAAAAAAAAAAGACATAATAACAAATCCAGGAGCATATATACCTATAAACATACATTATGACCAAGAGGGTTTTATACCAGGAAGCAAGGTTAGTTTAACATTCAAAAATTAGTCTGCGTAACTCATCATATTAAAGAATAAAGGAGACAAACAATGCAATCATTTCAAAGATACAGTAAAAACTTTTGACAAAAGTCCATACTCACCCATTAAATAAATAAATAAATAACAAGTCCAACCCTAGCGGGGCATGTGGCACTGCCTATAATGCCAGCATTCTGGGTAGCTGAGGAAAGAGGACTACAAGTTCAAACATAGCCTGGGCAACTCAGTGAGATCCTCTTTCAAAAAAATTAAAATGGCCTGTGGAAGGCCCTACATTCAGTGTGAAGGCCCTGTAAGGGTGCTGTATTATTGCAAAAAACAGTAATAACAAAATAAAAGCCTCTCAGCCAAACATAACATAAGGAAACTTTCTCAACCTAGAGAGGACATCTCTGATAAACCTGCAACTAACAACCTAACTAATAGTGCAATGGTGGGTTATCAGTCAAATTGAGAAGAAAACAAAATGTTTACTTCAATCACTTCTTTTTTTTTTTTGTCTTTTTCATTTTTATCGGTACCAGGGATTGGACTCATGACTGCCTACTTGCAAGGCAGGCGCTTACGCCGCTGAGCTAAATCCCCAGCCCCCTTCAATCACTTCTAATCAACATTTTATTGGAAGTCCCAGCCAATAAACACACTGAAAAGAAAGTCACTGGGTATGGTGGCACAATCCTATAATGCCAACCCTTTGGAAGACTGAGGCAGAATGATCACATATTCAAACCCAGCCTAAGCAGTTTAGCAACTTAATGAGACTCTGTCTCAAAATAATATCTTTTTAAAAAGGGCCAGGAATGTGGTTCCGTGAAGGAATGCTTGCCTAGCATGCCTAAGGCCCTGGGTTGTTCACTTCCTAGTACTGAAAAAAAAATTAACACTTCGAAGAAAATATACAATGGCCGAAAACACTGAAAAACGTGTAACATCATTAATCTTCAAGGAAATGCAAATTAAAACCATATTGAGATGCCACTAAATATCCACCAGAATAGCTGAAGTTAAAATCCTGACAGCACTAATATTAGCAAAAATGTAAAGCAACTGTAACTCTTCCATGCTATTGGTAGTATTTGGAGAACAGTCTACCAGATTCTAATAGAAGTAACATATGAAGATGTTTAGCAATTCTACTCATAGGTATTTGAGAACTGAAATAAAGGTTCACAAAAGAAATGTGTACAGAAATGTTCATGGAAGTTTATTTAAAATAGCTCAAAACTGAAAACAGCCCAGGAGAACAGACATCCTGAGTATAGTCAGAAAACAGAATGTACTCACCAAGAAACAGGAACAAACTACTGATATATAGTGACACAAATGAACCTCAGAAACATTATGCTGAAAGATGCCTCACTCACAGGAGTACTTACTGTATACCATTTACATGTTCCATGTGTATGGAATAGACAAGAATAATCGGGTGCAAACGAAATCACAACAGCAGCTGCCTGAAGTTGGGGAGCAAGAGGCATGCAGAGTTTGGGGAGGATGGTAACATTTTATATCTTGATGAGATTTTAAGTTACACAACGTAAGGCTTTGTCAAAATTCATCAGACCTTTCAACTAACACATTTCATGGCAAATAAATTTTATTCTCCGTAAATATACATATAAATATTGAACTCTAGTTAGTTATTCAAGCAGAAACATTCAGAAGTAAAGCACACTGATGTCTGCAACATACTTTGAAGTCTGGAAAAAACCTAAGCTGGATTAATGAATAGATAGAGGGGTAGATGATAGATATGTGATAAAACAAATATGATAGTTATTACAGAATCTAGATGATATGTATAAATGTATTCACTTTATAATTCCTTGAACCTTTCTGTACTTCATACTTTCATTATAAAATGCTGTAGGAAGTATTTTTAACAATGAGGTACTACATGGAGTATGTAAACCAGATCGGTAATAACAGCTGCTACTGCTACCATTAACTACATGTTTGGGTTTGGATTTAAAATGTTCCCCAGAAGGGTCACATGAGGTGGAATTCTGGGGAGGGACTGGATCACAAGAGCTTCAGTCTCATCAGTAGCTTAATCCATGCATGGCTGTCAACCTGATGGCATTATTGGGAAGTGACAGAACCTTGAGGATGGGACCTAGCTAAGGGGACTCATGGGGGGTGACCCTGGAGACTATCTCCTGCTCTGGCCCCTTCTGGCGGCTTCTCTCCACTTCCTGGCTGCCACACGTTGAGGAGCAGCCTCTGCGGCACAGAGCCACTGCCATGATGCTTGCTACCTCACCTCAGGCCCAGACTGACAGATCAGCCAACCACAGACTGAAACCAGGAGCCAAAGTCAATCTTTCCTCCTTTAAATTGTTTTTCTCAAGGATTCTGTTACAGCAATAAAAACTAACAGGGAAGTGATTACTATGGCGAGTTTTAATTTGCTATATCTAACTCCACAGCAATTCTGCAATATTATCTCCATCATCATGCTGTAGGATATGACACACAGAAGGACTAAGAACTAGTCCCGGCATCATACAGCACTGAATGGCACAGGCAGGATTCTAAACTGAGATCTAAGCCAGGCATGGTAGTGCATGCCTTTACTCCGAGAACTTGGGAGGCTGAGGCAGGAGGATTGCAGTGAGTTCGAGGCCAGCCTGAACTATACTTTGTCTCAAAAAAAAAAAAAAAAACAAAAAAAACCAAGGTCTACCACCAAGTACTACTATGGTCTGTCAATGACACTAGACATAAATGTTACAATTATGACAATTTTTTCAAACAATTCTTTACCTCATTTCTCGCTCTTCATGTTGAGCGATAAGGTTGCTATAAAAATTCTCCAGTGTTACTTTGGTCATTGTCACTCTTTCCTTGGTGTGATTACTCATGGAGGAGCACGGTGTGGAGCCTGTCATTGCCATGGCTACTAGAAACAAAGAAGAGGAATAGACTTCAAGTTAGCACAAACATACTATGCACTTTACGGCCCTACTGGTAGAAACATAAACTGGTACAAGTTTTCTGGAAGACATGTAGGTAATGCGTAACAAAAGTCAGACAAACATAATACTCAGTCAAAATAAGTACACAGTAAGGTCCTATGACCCAGAAACCCCACCCACATATAAGAAGACTAGAGAAATTGTCACACAGATTCTTAAGGCACATACACAAACTGTCAAGTAAAGGATGCTCACTGTGCCATAATTTCAATTATGAGAAGTGAGAAGCAATTAACAAGGAAATAAGCAAAAGGCAGTGGATGCATGGTAGAAATACCATGTGTCCAGGTGTGGGGCCACATATTTGTAAACCTAGCTACTCAGGAAGAGGCCACCCTGGGCAACTTAAGGAACTTATCTCAAAAAAAGAAAAGAAAAGGGGCTGGGGATATAGCTCGGCTAGCATGTACCAGGCCCTGAGTTCAAACTCAGTATAAAAGAAGAAAAAGTAAAGACAAACAGCAGCAACTTTACTTGTACCTAAAAACTGCAAGAACATACGTATCTTTACAACAAACATAATGTTTTTTTTTTTTAAGGAAAAGAACAAGATTACAATACCATACGAGTATTGTAATATTCTTTGCTATCTAGGAAACTACCTTGAAAATAATCAAGGTAAATGCACAATGATTCATACACAAGGGGTTCAATTCAGCCTTGTATGACAAAAGAAAACTAGAAATATATGTATATACAAAAACAGAAGAGAATGAAAGTATGGGCAGTGTTTCTGGATCAGGCTAACAATAAAATAAGCACATAGTTAAAACATATTCAATTATTTAATGACAGGGAAAATGTTTCTAATCTAGGTGAAAAGTACAGATTGTAAACAAAATGTATATCATGATCTCATTGTTTCTTAAATGTACATATTATATGTACATATAAATTTGTTATAAATACATAAATGTTACTAGTTTAATTCTAGGCTGTGAGAACATAACAGATAATTTTATTCTGGCTTGACCTTTACCATATTTTTCTATATTTTCTTTAATAAGCATGTACTGTTAATGGAGCTTAAGTTTAAGGTTTTCTATTTCTATATATTTTTTTTCTTTTTCTTTACTGGTACCAGGGATCGAACTCACGACCACATGCTTGCAAGGCAGGCATTTAAGCCGCTGAGCTAAATCCCCAGCCCCCTATTTCTATAGTTTTAAGAAACGAATCTATGACTAAAATACATAGGCATATACATGCTGACACAGCCTTAAGGTATTCAATAAATCTCTGCTGGCTCTTTACAAGTTACAAGTTACTCCTATAAAGGAGACAAAGGAAAAAATATAATCACAATTACAGTGACAGAAGGCACCTTAAAAACAAAAGATCCTAACTTCCTCATTTTACACACGAAAAATACAATACCCGCTGCACATGGTGAACATAACTGGAATATAGCACTCAGGGTGACTAAGGCAGGAGGGTCACAAGCTTGTGTCCAGCATGGGTAACTTAGCAAGATTCTGTCTCAAAATACAAAATTAAGAAAGGGCTGGGGAGCCGGTGTAGTGGCGCACTCCCATAATCTCAGCACTTGGGAGGCTGAGGCAGGAAGATCACTGCAAATTTGGGACCAGCCTGAGCTACAGGTGAGATCAAGGCCAGCTTGAACTGTATTGTACAGTGAGACCCTGTCTCAAAAAGACTAAAAAAAAAATGGGGGGGGGGCCCTGGGGACATAGTTCTGTACAAAGGTTCTGACAATGTCTAGTACTAGGGTGAGAGACATGAACAGGTTAGAAAGTTTATATACTATTTTCCCCCTAAATTTAAAATCTCAATTCTCTCAGGTACTCTGACTAAATTATATTATCACACTTGACTATGTAGTTCCTTAATACTTGCTGGCTCTAGTACTGACAACAGTGCTCAATACTGTACCCTTATGATGTCTTCCTCCCTGATGATCTGATTCTGTCCTTTCATCCCAATATTAAGCTGAGTAAACAGCAGGAGGCTCCAAAGGCCGTTTACAAAGATGGCAGTCTATGAAAAGTTCTCTTAAAGATTCCCTGCTTAATATTTAGCAGTTTTTCAAATCGTTTTGTAGATTAAACTAGACTTGTACAAAATGTGAAAACACTTGTTATTACTAAGAAAAAAGGCTTAAAACTAGTAGTGTTTTTCAAAGACACTTGGGCAAAACATCACAGAGACACTGCTTCACTGCAGATTCAAAAACAAGGCTCTTCCTCAGTCAAACATTTTGATTTATTTTGTGCAAAAATGGTTCTGTAATGACAAATTCAAGACATTATACTCAAGGCTACCTTACTATAAAATATTATTTTTTAATGGAGTTTACTAATACCAAAGCAAATTCAAATGTTTTTTGTGGATATCAGTGAGGATTATGAAAACAAACCTCCCTTCCACTTTCTGAAGCAGGGGTGTGGTTCCTTATTTGTCAGTCCCCACCCACAGTGAAAACCACATGTACTCTGGCGTTAGTGAAGAAAGTTTAAAACCAGAACCACAGAAGAAGAAAAAAACAAGTAGGAGTTATGTATTCCTCTCTTGTATGAAAATTTCTGGGGACTCTTTACATGTATGTAGTTACATTCTAACAAATGAGATAATTTCAATACAAAAACACAGCTTGAGAGCATTTAAAACAATGCTGTCCATATATTGAGCAATTAATAAGAGTAAATCGAACAAGTTAGTGATTCTGGTCAGCAAAGCTAAAAGAGCACAAGATGAACATTTCCAGTGAAGGATATATAAAAACTAAGAAAAAGCTTTAACATATGTAAACTGTCATTTCCCAAACTTATAGATCAAAAAGATAGTGGGTGTGGTGCATGGCTGTAATCCCAGCACTCTGGGAGGCTGAGGCTACAATTTCACAAATTTAAGCTTAGCTTGGGCAATTTAGTGACTTAGTGAAACTCTGTCCCAAAATAAAAGATAACAAAAGAGCTAGGGATATGGTTCAGCATGAAGGCTATGGGTTCAATCTCCACTACTGAAAAAAAAAAAAAAAGACATTAAGTGTTCTTAAAGGTAAAGGTTCTATTACAGCAATACATTCTTTACTGGGGATATAAAATTTAGAGCTTTGTACATGCTAGGCAAGAGCTGTACCTCTCAGCTACAGCCCCACTCCTTCTTCCTGTCTTCATCTTGTTCCTATTTTTGCTTTGGTTTTTTTTTGTTTGTTTGTTTGTTTTAAATTTTGAGACAGGGTCTCCCTAAATTGCCCAGGTGGCCTCAAATTTGCCATCCCATTGCTGCAGTCCCCAAATAGCTGGAATTATGGGAGTACACCATCACATTGGGCTCTGTTCTTCCCTTTAACTTCTCTTCAAACCTTCCTTTTCCTCTGCTCACAAAAAATTTCACACATTTCTAATAACCTTTAATCACAAGATACAACTAATATTAACCAGTAGCATTTCATAGGTTTACTGGGCCAACTAAGTACTTTTTGGGTCATAGCACTCTCCCTCTGATCCCCAAGCCACCGGGATCTTGTCCTGTGGGCTTCATTCTCCTTCAACTCGGCAGAATTAGTAAACAGTAGGTAACAAATTCTTACAAAGTTTTAAAAAATGAACAGAAGCATGTGATGCCCATAAAAGTCAGTAGGCATTCCACACTCAAAAACCGGTGAAATGGAAACCACTGTTTTATTCAATCTAGACAGTTAGGTCAGGTTGACTGACTTTACAATGGTACTTACTCCGTTATCTCTATCAACATCTCTCTTCAGGGCTCAACTGATTCCTTGACAGTTACATGTCTAATCGCCCCTCCCGAACTGCCAGGCATTGCAAAGTACACACCAGGACCTGTATCTAATATTCTTCCCCCATCTCATTCTATATTTAAGAATCTTCTCTTCCCTTATTCTTAAATTGTGCAGTTAGCGTCTTAAAATGATTATCCAGGAAAAGCACACATGTTTGATGTCCATTTCTTTAAGCGAGTTCACAGCAGGCGGAGACATAACACGTTTCTGTTAGCAGACCTGAGGACAGGGCTGCCATCCCAAGAGGAAGCTGATTTGCAAGGTTTTGTTTTGGGGTGTGGAGGGGAGCCTTTCCTGCGGCGGTGGCAGTTGGTTGTTTAGGAGAACCATAAGCAGTGGCTGGCTAATTCCCAGCCGAGGTGAGAAAGCACTGGATCTACTCCACCCCATCTTCCCGTACGCATTTCAGAAAGCTCAAGTTAATCGTCAGCTCTCCCAGTTCTTTCCGCGCACAACTGGGAGCCGGTCTCTCGGCCACGAGCACACTTTCTATCACAGACCTTCCTCTCCTCCTCGATTTTTCCCCCTGTCCTCAGGCTTTTCCTTTCCCCCCAGTGTCTTCAGGGTGTCTTCCAGGGAAGACGACCCACTGGAAGGAGCCACGCCCCAGGGTAGGCTTAGTCCGACTCCTCAACGCTCCCACGACAGCGCTCCCGTTCCCAGACGCCAGGGACAGCAGGGAAGAGGTGAAAACCGACCGAGGCTGGCGGCAGCCAGCAGACAATGCTGGCAACGCAGGAAGGAGAGGGGAGGCTGGGCTCCCCGCCCTGGCTGCACACAGGGACGGGGCAAAGTCGGGGAGGAAAGGAGGGGAAGACGGCCGAGGAGACTCGGGGACGGGGACCGGGGCGGGCGAGGACGGGGACCGGGGCGGGCGAGGACGGACGAACAGGACAAGCCAAGGCGCTGAGAGGGCTGCGCTGAGAAGGCGCGGGCGGTTAAAGCGGAGCCCAGAGGGAGTCGGGAGAAGCGGAGTCCGTGGGGGGAAAAGCCCGGGCTGGATGAAGCCGGCCGCGGCCACTCACCAGAGCCCCGAGGAGGAGGCAGGGCTGGGAAGACGCCCGCCGGGCCAGGGGTCCCGACCAGCTTGAGGCGTAGCCCCCGCGACAGCAGCCCTTTGGCCAGACGAGGGGAAGAGACGCGCGAGACTCTGAATAACGGCCAAGGAGTCTGCGGGAGACGACAACAGGAAGAGCACCAACTGCCGGAAAAGACGGCAAGGGAGAGGGGTTAAGGTACCCAGTCGCCCGAGGCGGCGGCGGCGGCGGCGGCAGCGGAGGCCAGGGGTTACCGCGGCGGCCCGGGACTGGGACTGCGCATGCGCCAGTCCCCGCCGGTGCAGCCGGCCTGCCGAACTGCGCATGTGCGGCCCCGCCCTCCTCACCCTCGCCCTCTGCCTCACCCTCAGCCTCAGCCTCACCCGGTGTCCCGGGCAGGCGAGGCTGAGGGTGAGGCCAGATGTGTGCGGTGTGGGCCAGACTCGGGGCGATCGGGGTGGGGCTGAGGACGTTCTCTCTGTCTCTCGTTTTTTTTTCACTTTTCATTTTGAAATAATTAGACTCGAGAAGTTGCAAAATGACTACAGAGAAGTTCGGTGTACCCACTGCCCACCCGGCTTCCGTAAACCTCTCACAAAAGATACGTTATCAAAAGCAGGAAATTGACAAGAGCACAGTGCAACAGACTAAGCCGATACAATTTGCTGTATGGCAGATCTTGCTCGGGGTTTGGCATGCATTCCTGAGCCGGAAGGTGGATACAATAGTTCTATGAAATTTAATCACTGTATACTTTTTTCCACCCTCCTTAATTTCCAATCACTGTGGCCTTAGGTGTACTGAACCTTTCGACTACACTGGCCCTTCCTTAAAAGCAGAATTAACTTGCTTCACCTTGAATCAGTTGTGCTAAGAGGCTGGGGCATGGCTACCAGGGGAGTGTTCCATTATACACACAGAGCCGGCTTTTCGGTGCTCGGGCCGTGCCACCTTTGCGGGGAAACAGGTCCTGAGTTCACCAGTCCATGGTCGATTGCTCGATCCTTGAGAACTGGGCACAATGCTCTAGATTCCAAAGTGTTAGTTCCTGGAAACAAGATGTGAGTCATGGGCCCTGCCTACCTCCACAGGGGTCATCAGGGAGCCAGAGAAGCTGGACGCCCGGTCACACTCCTCACCTGCACTTTGTGATCAGTGTTTCGCTGGCCCGCGCTCTCCTGGAGCTGCACTGCACCCATCCAACTCAGGTTTCTCCTTCCAGACTTGGGGTCCCAGGCTCTGCTTCCTTGGGGTGTGAAGCCCACAGGCCCCACTTCCTATTATCCAGCCCCACACATTGCTTGGCCTTGCATTCTCTCTGCCCAGAGCCTTCTTTCAAAGCCTCCCCATCCCTAGCCACTTAATGACAGTCCAAGGTGTTAGCGCAGGGCTTTGCAGTCTCCAGCCGGCTTTCACTCATTTCATGGCAGTGATGTCACAGCTCTGTGATAGTCACACAGGCTGAGGCTGTCCAGACAGCCTGCCTCAGAGAAGCTGAGGGAGCCTCTTGGAGTTTTATAGGTAGTGAGCCCAGGAGCCAAGCAGGGAGCCCTGACTGCAGGCCTGGAGGTCTTCTCCCTGTTCCTGTTACTTCCTCTAAGGCCCACTTGCAGTCCTGTCTTCCCCCAGGAGCATCCTAGTTTCAGAAGAGAAATTTCACTCTGTTCGGGATCCTCCTGTGTCAATTTATCAGAGCCCCTAATAAATGTAAAAGTTTTGCTCAAAATAGCCCAGAAGAATATACTGCTGTCCCTACATGAACTCAAAGGGTGATATTTTACCAAGATTCCAGTAACAGTTATGGACATTTTTCATTCATTCTAGCTTCCCAAGCCCTAGGAAGGCCTTTCATACATTTCTCACTTTCAAAACTGAGAATTCCAAATATCCTCCTTCTAGGATACCAGGATGTGCCAACTTTTCTCTCTCTCTCTCTCTCTCTCTCTCTCTCTCTCTCTCTCTAATTCTTGTACTTTCAGATCTCGGTTTAGAGGGAACAAGGGGAGATAGGATGATTGTAGTATGGTATATGTTTGTACTGCACAAGTATCTCTGAATGAAGCCCACTATTCTGCATAACTCATATGTGCTGCTAAAATTAAATAAAAATAAAAGATTCCTAGAAGCACAAGATCTTCCATAGGTGTGTATGGTTCTCATTTTTTACTTTTCTGAGTCTTATTTTTCATACTGAACAAAATAAGGATGTTCTTATTATTAATTTGTCATTCATTTGTTGTTGCTTTTGTTTTTCATTTTAAAGGGAATAAAATAGAGCAATAAAACGAATTGAAACAGTCTACAATGGTTACCGTATTGCATATTGTTATCCTTTAAATAGTCACTTGGCTTTAGACTTGCAAAGTCAGTCAAACAATACAGTTCTTCCAGATCAGCTGGTTGCTCACAGGGAAGGACTGTTTTCCTCTCCCCAGCCCGTGCTCCAGCTGTCTCACAGGTGGGGTTTGGTTTATTTTAAATTTTTTTTTTGTCTTTTTCATTTTTATCGGTACCGGAGATCGAACTTACGACCGCCTGCTTGCAAGGCAGGTACTTATGCCACTGAGCTAAATCCCCAGCCCCCTTAAATTTTGATATTTTGTGCGTTACTTTTTTTTTTGCATTAATTTTGATAAAAATACAACTACATTGAGCCAAGCATGGTGGTTGCATTAGCCTGAATGTCTGTGCCTACAGTGAGGAATGGTAGCATACACCCGTACTCCCAGCTACTAGGCTACTAGGGAATCTGAGGAAGCAGGATTGCAAGTTCAAGCCCAGCCTTGGGAATTTAGCAACTTAGTGAAACCCTGTGATTAAAAAAAAAAAAAAATTAGGGAAGAAACTTTGGATTTAACAGAGTGAAGGACCTGGGTTCAATCCTATTACCATAAAAAATATATTGCATTAAGTATTGTTTATCTTGATTACTGATCTGGTATGCCTGACTCTTAAATCTGGTACTCAGGTGAATGTCCTGCTTACCTGTTCACCTCACCCTTAGAAAAACAACTGTGAGTCCCTTCTGGTGAAGTTAGTGGCTGCTTCATTGGGTTTCTAGAATATGCAGCCCTGGCTTAGGTCACAGTATTCAGCATTCAAAGTCAATGACATCAGCCTCACCAGCTTCAGCATCTAGGTCTAAGCCCAGTGTGGTGATGCACCCCTATAATCTCGGCTACCAGGGAGCCTGAGGCAGGAAGACCCCAAGTATGAGTCCAGTCTGAGCAACTTAGTGAGCACCTGTTTCAAAATTTAAAAATGGGGGCTGAGGATTTAGCTCAGCGGCATAAGCACCTGCCTTGCAAGCAGGCAGTCGTGAGTTCGATCCCTGGTACCGATAAAAAGGAAAAAGACCCAAAAACAAAAACACAAACAAAAACAAAATTTAAAAATGGGCTGAGGATGTAGCTCACTTGAAGTTGTAGAACTCAATCCCCACTACTAGGGTGCCTGGAGGGGGGTGGAAGATTCTGGTAGGTTTTCAGAATGACATTGGCCAGGATTGTGTCACATGACCACTCATCCTGGGAAAGCAAGTACTCTGCTTTTTATGTACCGCAATAGAGCCGAGCAGGAAGGAAGGGTTGGGAATGAACACTGGGTTAGCCAGCCAGTGTTGTCTGCCATGATAGTACACATGGTGTTGTTTTGGCTCATCTAATTAATCTATTTGAGAAAATGACAGATAACAGGACTCATTCATTGACTTCAGGTCAGTGAGAACACTGCCCAGAGGCACCTCCTATATATTTCTTTTCTCTATGTTCTCTGCCCTCATGAGGGCAGGCCCCTAATTCCCTAGCAGTGTGCAGCCTTCTCATTATAGGCCATGGCATTCGCTGACTCTGACTGTTCCATGAATGGACTGGAACCTGGGCCCTGCTGGCCCAGGGCCTCTCACACTTTAACACGCACAGAAATCCTGTGGGATTTGGTTAAATGCAGAGCCTGGGGCCGAGGGATAGCTCGGTGGCAGAGCACCTGCCCATCATACACAAGCCCTTGGGTTTGATCTCCATCTTCTGTCCAAACAAGCACCCAAGTGATGGCAACCCTGCTGGTACAGCTACCATGCTTGGAGGAACAAGGAACACACAGAGGCATAGATGTAAATGAAATATAAGAAGGGAGAAATGTCCGTGATCCCGCAGTCCAAGGTCCCAGCCAAGGTCCAGACTTTTTCTGAGACAGGGCAACACGTGTGAGACATGGCAGAGTACGACATTTAAGAAGACTTTCACTCTCGGGTGTCACCTCCATAGAGGCACTACGGAAACCTCACTCGGGTTGAGGATCCTTACACCAGCCCTGCTAACCTAGCTACCAAGTACCATTTGCTGGGCAACCTCCCAGGCTCCGCAGTGGAGGGGGCATGGGGATTGGACCCAGAATCTCACGCACTCTAAACTTGTTTTCCGCCACTTGGCTACACTCCCAGCACCTTCCTGGCTACGCCTTATTACACATTAAACACAAGAGAATTGTACATGTACGGCTACACTATTACACCGTTTGTTTTTGTTTATGTGTACCTAAATCACCATGTTGTAAACACTCGACCACAATTTAATCTCACAAATTCAGCCCTCTAAAATGTGTAGATTATTTTCCGTCTTAGGACAGAAATCACGAGTAGCTATTAGACAAGTTTCTTCTTTAATTTTTCTGCACCCCCACCTCCCACTTTTTCCGTGTTGGGCCCAGAGAATCTTTTAACTTAGTTTTTATTTTTATCACAGTAACGCGTGTACAGACATGACAAAGATGAAGTGATCCGTACAGTTTACAGCCGTGCCCGTTCCCCGCCCCACCCGCTCCCACCGGACTCACTGAGCACAAAGCAGCTGCTTCCAATGTTTTTAGCTATTTCTTCTCCTTCCCTCTTTGTTTCCAAAATAACATTGCTATTTCTGACATTTTCATTTTAGGTCTTTTTAAATTTCCTTAATAAGGAGGAGAATTTAAACCACAATGCAAGTTCCATACGACTTCCGTCACCCCTGCCATCCCTCTTGCATTTACAGTATTTACAGTGTTCACAGTTGAGCCAGCCAGTCTTCCTGTGCCACTTTTTATTTTCCCCAGTGCTAACAATTGCCTCTATTTTTTACCTGGCATCATTTTTATGTTACTATTACTTTTGTCTTTTTGAGACGGGGTCTCACTATGCAGTTCAGGCTGGTCTTGAGCTCACTTTGTAGCCTACACTGGTCTTGGAACTCAGATATCCTCCTGCCTCAGCCTCCAGAGTGTTGAGATTACAGGCATGCACCTCCACA